TCTTATAAATTTGACTCAGTTCTCTATATAGTTTAGAAATGAGGCCTTTATCAGAGACACTGGCTGTAAAAATTGTTTCCCAGCTTACTGCTTCCCTTCTAATCTTGGTTGCATTGGCTCTGTTTGTGCAAAACCTTTTCAATTTAATATAATCAAAATTATCCATTTTGCATTTCATAATGTTTCCTATCCCTTGTTTGGTCATAAATTCTTCTGTTCTCCTCAGATCTGATAGGTAAACTATTACTTGCTCTCCTAATTTGCTTATAGTATCACCCTTTATATCTAAATCGTGTACCCATTTTGACTTATCTTGATATACAGTGTAAGATGTTGGTCTTTGCCTAGTTTCTGCCAGACTATTTTCTAGTTTTCCCAGCAGTTTTGTCAAATAGTGAGTTTTTATCCCAGAAGTTGGAATCTTTGGATTTATCAAACAGTAGATTACTATAGTCATTGACTACTGTGTCTTGTGTACCTAACCTATTCCACTGATCTCTACCACTCTGTTTCTTAGCCAGTACCAAGTCATTTTGATGATTGCTGCTTTATAGTACAGTTTTAGATTTGGTGTGGCTTGGCCACCTTCCCTTGCATTTCTTTTCATTAATTCTCTCAATAGTCTGGACCTTTTGTTCTTCCAGATGAATTTTGTTATTATTTTTTCTAGCTCTATAAAATAATTTTTAAAAAATTTTAAATAATTTTATAAATAAAATATATATTTTTTAAAAAGTAGATTGTGCTAGAGTAAGCAGATACAGAATGTCTGTGTGGGAGCAGAACCTGTCCAGAAGTAGCAGAATCTGTCCAGCTTCCCTACTGGCTCTCCCACTCCCTCTCCCACTCCCACCCCCTACCCCCGCCCCCATGACAAAGGCTTAGATGATATTCTTGTCAAATTTGCAGATGGCACAAAGCTGGGAGGAATAACTAATATATTAGATGACAGAGTAAGGTTTCAAAAAGATATCTATAGACTATAAGAGTAGGCCAAATTAAATAAGATAAAATTTAGGGTTAGGTCTGGACTTGTGGTTTTACTGATAGAGAGAACTCTGCCAAGAGGAAACTCCCTCCACCAATGCAGTTCAGCATCTTACTTACTGCAACTTACTATCTTAGGGAGTTGCCTAGAGCACTGAAAGGATAAATGACTGATCCAGGGTCACACAGCCAGTATGAGTCACAGGCAGGACTTGAACCCAGGTTTTCCTGCTCTGGTGCCATCTATCTAGTACACTATGATTGGAAGTTGTTTTTGTTTTTGTTTTAAATCAACTTCCCAAGTAACAGATGGGGTATGCTTATTGTTGTTGTTATGTTTTTCATTATTATTGGATATGCTTGCCTACAGAGCTTCAGCAAGAATAACGTATCTGAAAAAATTTGGCAGTTCTAGAGAATGCAAGCTCAGTGTCCCTAAAGAACGTGAAATCTTGTGTAATTTTAGTCTTCATTAAGAGAGCCAGTGTCTAGATTGAATGAAGCAACTGTCCTGCTGTTCTCTGCCCAGGTCTGACAACATCTGGACTATTGTCTGCAGTTCTGAATGCCGCAGTTTTTAAAAGGACATTCAAAAGCTGGAGAGTTTCTAGCAGAGGGTCAGCTACATAAGGATGATTAAATATTTCCATAGCCATCATGGCATGGGTACTAGCACACCTTCTGGAGCCACTCCCCAACTTAGTCCTGGAACTTATTGTTTGGGGTTCTCAGTAGTGTCTACCCTTAGGATTCTGGGAATGACAGTGAGGGGAGGACTCCTAGCAGTACACTCACAAGCCCCTTCCGGGGTCCACTGACCTCCATTAGCTGGATGGACTGAGAAAGTGTGGCAAAAAAAAAAAGAAAGAAAGAAAAATGCATATGAAACATTTTCCCAAACTCTGCACACTTTTCTTAATAATGCAAGGGCCCTTGGGAGAATAGTGAGAAACACATGTTGAGAACCTCTGAGGAAAGGGACAGCTCCTGATTCCTGGTTACTGCTACCAGCTCTGAGAGGTGAACTGAAAATATTTAATTTTGAAAATCTTAAATTACCCCTTCCTTGTCCTACTTGAAAAGTCTGCTGTAATCTTGATTATGCTTTATTAAATGATTTCTGGATTTCTTTTAGCAACTTGAAGTATATTTTCTTTAGTGTTATAATGTTGGGCATGAGACTTCTGTGTAGACTACACATTTTTGGTTGCTCTCATTCCTCACTCCTAAACTGTGTTTCCCATCAACCTCTCTTTTGCATTGAAGTCACTCAGGCTCAAAGTATATCTTGACCTAATTTGGAGAAGTCCTTTATAGAATTTCTTTATCTCCTTATCATCTGCAGTTGACATAGGTACATAGGCTACAAATATTTTCAGAATTATGAAGCATGAGCTCAGAACTATCTATCTAGCAAAACTCAGTATGCTCCATCAAGGCAAAAGATTGAGAATCAAGTTTGCAGAGATTTGTACATTTCAAGGGAGTACTTATATAGCAGCCAAACTTTGCAACCAAAAATATAATTATTTTTTAAAATTCACAGTTCTAAAATCAGGATTACCTTTTTGTTAAGAACCCTCAAAGTACTGACTTGGCTAAACTTCTAAACATTTCAGATAGGTGTTTTGGAGAAGAGGGAAAGCATATATGTATACCTCTCTCTCTCTCTCTCTCCCTCTCTCTCTCTCTCTCTCTCTCTCTATATATATATATATATATATATGTAGATATATATCTACACATATACATATACCCGTTATATGTGTGTGTATGATGGAGTAGAAACTTGAGAGGAGAGAGGTGATAAGGCAGTATAATTCTAAAACAAAACTACTTTTATTGTTTTTTCCATTCCCTTCTCACTACTGAAACAGTTACCACCTCAGTTCATACCTTAATCCCCTTTCACCTGGACTATTGCAGTGACCTCTGAGTTAGTCTTTCTGCCTCATCCCTCCCCACCCAAATCTGTCTTCCACCTGGATGCTAATCCAGGTGATTTTACTTAAGTTTAGGTCCAACCGTGTTAATCCCCTATTAAACAAGTGCCCATAGTTCCCCATTGCCTTCCAAATAAATCAACAACACCTTGATTTGACTTCTACTCTTTCACAACTTGGCCTGAACCTAATTCTCCAGCTTCATTACACATTACTCCCCTTCCCATAATCATAGTCCAGCCAACTTGTCCACCTCTCTGTTCCTCACACATGGCACCTAGTTTTGAATTTCTGTGCCTGTGCTCTGGCTGTTCTCCTGGGCTAGGATGCCTTTGCTTCTCCTCTACCTCACAGAGACCTTAGCTTCCTTCAGAACTCAGCTCAAGCATCACATTCTACATAAAACGTTTCCTGGTTCCCACAACTACTATCATCCTTCCTCCCTGATTACCTTGCATTTAACTACCTTGTATTTATTATGCATATATATATACACACGTATGTGTGAGTGTGATCTCCCTTGATTGTACATAATATTTTTGAGATTAAGAATTCTTTAATTTTTTTTCTTTTTATTCCCAATGCCTAGCACTGTGCCTGGAAAAAGTAGACATTTAAGAAATGCTTTATTGATTGTCTGATTGATTGATGAAGAGGAAGTCCAAATTAAAGAAAGCAACACAAGCTTTAATATGACAGAGGAACTTTGTTTAGATTGGTTTTTGTCAAGTTTGAGATAATAGCAGAAATAATAAGATTAAGGATAATATGTATTATCTACCTCATCAAAAAATTAAAGAAAAGTCAAAACTAACAATTGTAACACTAAAGATAAGTTGACTAAATTTGCTAATAAAATGATAAAGAATCACAGAATGAATTAAAATACACAATTTAGCAAAGTTTTGTTGGCACAAAGTACATTTATTCCAGAAAGATTTAAATAGACTAAACATGAAAGAGTAGAAAAAATTTACTATGCAACCACTAAATCGTGAAAAGCTGGAATGACCTTTATATAAAATAAAGTACAATTCAAGCCAGAAAGCATTAAATGATATAAACAAGGACATGTGATGCTAAAAGGTGCTATATAGAATGAAAGTATGCCATTTAAAAATGTGTGTACTTAATAATTCTGCAGTATCATGTATAACAGAAACCCTTACTGAATTGCACAAAGGAATAGCTAAAAATTAATAATAATGAAATATTTTGATACCTCACAATCAGAATATATTAGATTCAGTAGAAAGTTAAGAAATTATAGAGTTGAATGGAGCATTAAATAGACTAGTTGCAATAGATATATGTAGAGAATTTAAAGGAAAGAGAAAAGAACATTGACTACCTTCTGGGTCTTAAAAAGATACAGGAGGGCCAGCCTTGGAGTCAGGAAGACCTGAGTTCAAATCCGGCCTCAGACACTTGACACTTACTAGCTGTGTGACCCTGGGCAAGTCACTTAACCCTAAACAAAACAAAACAAAAAAAAAGATACAGGAAAATATAGATAATCAGATATTTTATACAATATAATTATAAGTCATAATGCAGCGAATTAGTGATAAGAAATGAGACAATGAATGAAAATTGTAAGCCCAAAGAGAATCCAAATTGTAGAGAGATTATAATCTGCATAAAACTGAATGATTATCCATATGGATGAAATTTCAGATTCTTGAGGCATTTGGATATTTGAGGCAAATATAAAGATCTATTGATCAATTTTTGTTTACATCTCATGACTGTAAGAAAAAAATAAGAGAGAAATGCCAAAATACACCTAGTAGGTTCTGTGGTTAAATGAACTAGACCGAAGCTGAGACTGTGATCTCTTAACACAATTCAACAAGTATTTTTAAAAATGTTTACCATGTGTCTAGCACTCTCATGTTCTTTTATTGGGTTTGAAGTTGGCATAAAAACATATGACATGGTATTTCACAAATAACAGTAGAAGCATTAATGCTCCTAATGTTTCTTGTTTGTAGAGACTGGTTCGTGATAACCAGAACCTGGAACACTGGCTGGATTATGGCTCATTCTGCCTTCTGACCAATGATATTCTCAAAGCACAAGAATGTTTTCGTAAAGCTCTTTCATTGAATCAGACAAACATAGACAGGTATGGAAGGAAGAAAGGAAAGGAGTGTGCAGGAGTAGATGTAGAGATGTGGGCTTTTTATGGCTCATTGTTAAGCAGCTGTTGTGATCATGGGGCTGATGCTGATGATATTTGTCTTCAGTCTGCTACTGTGTGGTCTTGTGGCTATCATGCTGGAGCACTATGAGGAAGCAGAAATTTTTTTCGAAGATGCCACTTGCCTGGAACCAACCAATGTTGTGGCATGGACTTTACTCGGTACGGCAATCCTGCAATCTGTGTCTGTGTTTTGTGTTTTCTTTCTTTGTAAGATTGCCTTTTTCCCCTAATTTTATTCCTTTACTTTGAACTATGTCAAGAATGGGCCTTAATGTTAAAACTTGCAACTTGTTAGAATGTTAAAATTGGAAATTCAAAAGTCATTCAGTTTGATATTTTTTCAGGTTTGTTCTATGAAATTCAGAATAATGATATCCGAATGGAAATGGCATTTCATGAAGCCGCCAAACAGCTTAATGCTAGATTAGCCAAGGAAAAGAGTACTGCTGAGACTGTTGATGTTGAAGGGAAGCTAGAGTCCAGTTTAACAGCTTTGGGAGTTGTGATAGCTTCACCAAGCAAAGGAGATATACCACAAGGTGAGTTCATGGTAAAATGTTCTAAGAGCTAGAGATAATAGGTGGATGTTGGGAGGAGGACTGACTGGCCTTATAAATAGACAGAGGTAGTGATGTGATTTCAGGGATATTAGGAAGGACCCTTGCCCAAATCTACCCAATTTGTCAACCACTGTGTCTGAAATTCCCACCTTCAGATTCATTAATGAGGATTATTAAGGTTTTTATTTGTCTTTTATTTGTCTTCAAGTCCCCTTTTAAAATGTAGATACCCTTGATATAGCAGAATGCAGTATTAGGATTAGTTTTTTTTTTTAGAGCAAGACCATGTGAGAATGGGACATAGATACTTTAAGGAGGGATAGGAACACTAGGAGAGAACAGAGGGGGTACTGAAAGATGGGAAGGGAGAGCAACAAAGATAAATTTTACCAATATAACAATTCTGGTTAGGGTCACCTTGGTTAGAAGCTAGTAAAATTTAATAAGGAAGTAAGAAGAATGGGGAATGTAACCAGTAATGTTGAGTTTGGATAGGATTGTACCTGGTCACTCACCTGGCTTTCTACGTCTTTAAAGGCCTTTTGTTGCTGTTCAACAAAATTTAATTCATCTTTGTCACACTCTAAAATTAACATTTTAAATCCTTACTCTCCTCAGAGACATAATAACACTTCCTGCCTTAATCAATCTTGAAAGCTTTCTCTATCCCCTGGGATGACTTATCCTTTAGAATTTTAGTCCATCAGATGCTACCTCTGACCCTTTTAAAATCTGTTCTTTGACCCGAACAGAATTTCATAAAAGTTAGATATGATAGACTTCTGGAGAATATTGAAAGGAAATAGAAAGGAGTATACCTATTTCTCAACTGTGAATGGCACATTCACAAAAACTGACCTTGTATTAGGGCATAAAAACCTCACAGATGAATACAGAAAGAGAGAAATATAAAATGCACATTTTACCAACCGAAACAATAAAAATTACACTCAATAAAGGGCCTTTGAAGCAAATATAAAAAATTAAGTAGATGCCAAATAACTTCATTCTGAAGAATGGATGAATCAAAGAACTAAGAATAATTAGCATTTATGTAATACTATATACCAAGCACTATGCTAAGTGTTTTACAAAAATCTCATTTTATCAAATTATAGAAACAATAAATAATTTTATTGAAGATAAAGACAATAGTGAGACAGCATACCAAAATTTGTGGGATGCAACCAAAGTAGTACTTAAGGGAAAATTTATAGCTCTAAACTCATTTGTCAATAAAAGAAAGAACAGATCAACAAATTGAGCATGCAACTAAAACAAAAAAAAAACCTAGAAAAACGTCAAATTAAAACCCTCCAAAAATGGAAATCCTGATAATCAAAGAAGAAGTTAACAAAATTGAAAGTAAAAAAAACTGTTGATTAATAACTAAAATTAAGAACTTTAAAAATCCCAATAAAATAAATATGCTATTAGATAACTTGATTTAAAAAAGATTACCAGTATCAAAAATGAAAAAGGTAAAATCACAAGCAATGAAGAAAAAATAAAAGCTACTATTTGGAGCTATTTCTCCCAACTGCGTGCCAATAAAATTGACAATCTTTAAATACAATGGATAAATATTTACAAAAACATAATTGCCTAGATGAACAGAACAGGACATAGAATACTTAAATATTTCTTAGAAAATAAATAGAATATAGCCATAAATAAACTCCCAAAGAAAAAAAAAAACCAGGAGCAGATGGATTTACAAATGAATTCTACCAAACATTTAAAGAATGGTTAATTCCAATACTACATAAACTATTTGGAAAAAATACGTAAAGAAGAGGTCTTACCAATCTTTCTACGAAACAAATATGGTCTTGATACTGAAACCAGGAAGAGTCAAAAGAGAGAAAGAAAGTGATACACTAATTCCCCTAATGAATATTTATGCGAAAAATTTAAATAAAATATATATAAGGAGATTACAGAAATATATTACAAAGATCATACATTATGGACAGGCTAGATTTATGTCAGGAATGTAAAAATCATGATTGTTTCAAAAAATGTAGAAAAAGCTTTTGGCAAAATACAATATCCATTTCTGTTTAAAACAAACAACACTGTAAAGCATAGGAATAAATGGAGCTGCCCTTAAAATGATAATTAGTATCTATCTCAAATGTAGAGCCAGCATTATTTGTAATGGGGATAAGCTAGGAGCCTTTCCAATAAGATTAGACGTGAAGCAAGGATTTCCTTTATCACCATTACACTCAGTATTGTATTAGAAATGTTAGCTATAGCAACAAGGCAATAAAAAGAAATTGAAGGAATAATTATAGGCAACGGGGAAAACAAAACTATCACTTTATGCCAGTTATATGATATTTTACTTAGAGAACTCTAGAGAGTCAACTAAAAAACCAGTTAAGACAATTAACTTCAGCAAAGTTACAGGATATAAAACAAACCCTCACAAATTATCTGCATTTCTGTATATTACAAAAAGTCAGCAGAAAGAGATAGAGAAATGCCATTTAAAATAACTATGGACAGTATAAAATACTTGGAACTCTACCTGCCAAGACACATATAGGAACTATGTGAACACAGTTACAAAACATTCTTCACACAAATAAAGATACATCTAAATAACTGGAAAAATATTAATTGCTCATGGGTAGGTCAAGTCAAAGTAATAAAAATGAAAATATTGCCTAGATTAATTTATTTATTCAGTGCCATACTAATCAAACAACCAAAGAAATTACTTTATAAAGCTAGAAAAAAGTAATAAAATTCATTTGGAGCAACAAAAAGTAAAGGATATCATGGGAATCAATGGGAAAATAAAAAGAGGAGGAAGGAAGGGGGCCTAGTAGCACCACATCCTAAACCATATTCCAAAGCTGTAATCATCAAAGTAATTTGGTAAGATGTAGAGAGGTTGGTCAATGGAACAGATTATACAATTGTATACAAGTATACAATATGGAGAAGTAAATGAGCACAGTAATCTTGTGTTTGATAAACCCAAAAATTCTAGCTATCACTATTTACCAAAAACTACTAGGAAAACTGGAAAGTAGTGTAGCAGAAACTAAGTAGAGACCAATATCTCACACTATATATCAAGATTAAGGGGAAGAGTTCATTACCAAACAAGAGACAGAGAGTTCATAGGAGATTGAATGGATAATTTTGATTACATAAAATTAAAGAGTTTTTGAACAATAAAACCAATGCAGCTAAAATTAGAAGAAAAGTAGGAAATTGGGGGAAGGGGGATCTTTGCAGCAAATTTCTCTGATAAAGGTCTGATTTTTAAGATATGTAGAGAACTGAGTCAAATTTGCAAGAATTAGAGCCATTCCCCAGTTGATAGTCAAAGGATATGAATAAGCAATTTTTTTTTAAAGGCAATTGGGGTTAAGTGACTTGCCTAGGGTCGCACAGCTAGTAAGTGTCAAGTGTTTGGTCTGAGACCGGATTTGAACTCAGGTCCTCCTGACTTTAGGGCGCCACCTAGCTGCCCTGTGAATAAGCAACTTTCAGAGGAAGAAATCCAAACTATCAAAAGTCATATGAAAACCAAATGCTCTAAATCACAAACAATTAGAGAAATATAAATTAACCCAGCTCTGCAGTACTACCTCATACCCATCAGATTGGCTAAATTGACAAAAAGAAAAATTACAAATGTTGGAGGGGATGTGGGAAAACAGGTACACTAATGCACTGTTGGCAGAGCTATGACCTAGTCTAGCTATTCTGGAAAGCAGTTTGGAACCATGCTCAAAAATCTGTCCTTAACTGTGCATATCCTTTGACCAAGTGATATTGCTATTAGGTCTGTACCACAAAGAGATCAAACAAATAGGAAAAGGACTCATTTGTACAAAATTATCTATAGCAGCCCTTTTTATGGTGGCAAAGCATTAGAAACTGAGGGCATGCCCATCAATTGGGAAACAGCTGAACAAGTTATAGTGAATGAATTGCTGTAAAAAATGAGGAAGGGGATGGTTTCAGAAAAACCTGGGAAGACTTATGTTAACTGATGCAAAATGAAATGAGCAAAAAAGAATCGGGAAAACAATTTACATAATAATAGTAATATTGAAAAGATAAATCAACTTTTGAAAGACTTAGTAACTTTGATCAACACAATGATTTACCACAGTTTCAAAGGATTAATGATGAAACATTCTATCCACCTCCAGAAAGTTGACAGACTCAGAGTGCAGATTCAAACATTTTTCTCTCTCTCTTCCTTTCTTTTTCTTTTCCTTCCTTCATTTCTTCATTCTTTCATTTGTTCCCCCCTCCCTCCCTTCTTTTCCTTCCTGTTTTCCTTCCTTGCTCTCTCCCTCCCTCTTTTTTCCTTTCCTTTCTTCCTCCCTTCCAACATGACCAATTTGAGAATTTGTTTTACATGGCTATACATATTTTTAACAAGTTTTGGTTTTCTTGCCTTCTTAATGGGTAGGGGAGGGGCAGGGAAAGAATTTGGACCTGAAAATACATTTCAGTTTTTAAAAATAAAATCTGTTCTCCCCAAATTCAAGTTGCATTTTCAGACTATTAGTACCTTTCTTCACTTTCTCTGCCACAAAACCTAAGATATAGTAATCACTTCCCCCAAAGTTCCCATCATGTCACTCCTGCAACTCTTTCTTCCTTGTTAGGGAGAATCCTATCTGTAATTGAATTTTATCTTGGTTTCTTCACCTTTGGAGGAGTAAAATACCATTAAGGGAAATCAAGGATTTATTATTAATTGCTTTGCTTTTGGCAGAAAGAGCGCTTTCTAGCACATCCTGATAACTGTTACAGCATCCCTCTGTGTCAAGCTTGTGGTCTATTTCCTAAACCAAAGGTGGGAAACCTGTGGCCTGAACAATTTGGATTCAATTGACTGAACAATATGGATTCAGTCAAAAGGCCGCACCTAAGGACCTAGAAGGCCACATGTGGCCTTAAGGCCGCAGGTCCTCCTCCCCCCACCCCCATATCCTAAACTCATTGATTTTCTTTTTATGCCCTAATGGTCTATAGGATATACCTCAATGACTGTTTCTATGACAGGAAGCACTCTCCTGCTTCCGTCTTCTGGCTGGAACATGGACTTAGAGTTGGGAAGACCCTTAGCATCCATTGAGTACAAGCCCCTTATTTAACATGTAACAGTAGTCTGACCAATAGGAGTCCAGTCCTTCAAGTATGCACGCTCAGCCTTAGCTCCACAGCTAACTGAAAGGCTTTTTATCATCACAGAGAGGTTAAGTAATTTGCCCCGTCACATAACTTGTGTCTGAAGTAAGGTTTGGCTCTCAGTGAATGTATCTTCTTAATATATGTTATTCTACCACTTTATATATATTCCATTCCTTTTGAATAAGATACCCTTCCAGATCCAGATTCTATTCAGGGATCTCATTCCAATTCTCATTAGTAACTGTGAGGTCAAATTTGCCTCCTCCATCAGTATCTCTAGTTTATCCTGTTTATTACCCACACTTTTGTTCATTTGTATATAGACATCTGAGTCTACTGGTTTAATTACTGATTTCCTTTCTTGGTTTTGTCTACTGTGAAGTTCTTCCCCATTTTCTACATTACAGCTACACTGTGCAGTATCTAGCTTGGAATGCAGACTCTTTTCTCCATCTCATTTCTTTTCTTTTTCATTTACTTGCTTTTTGATTAGATTTGCAAGACTTGGGCAAATAAATTCTTACTGGCCTTTGTTAAGTACACTCCACTCTGAACAAGGTTTGGCATTCCCATATTTTAAGCTATGAACCAGAGATCCAAATCCTATTCTCAGAAATCTTAATCCCTTTAAGATACTGTCTTTGTAACTTACCTCCCAACAAATATGAACAAAACACTCATATAAATAAACTGAACTGCCAAAGAACTGGCCTGTTTGTGAACAGAAATTAGAAGTGTAGAATTTTTTATATTTGGAAAATTATTCATTATTTCTTGTAGTGATGAACTGCTATACAATTTATGAAGAATTTTTCACTGAAATTTTAATTTGTTAGGATTGGGAGATGACATATCCATGCTGGATGAGTTTCTTGAAGAGCCACCCAAACCCCAGTCTGAGACTGTGGAGCATCAAAAGTCAGTACTCCTGCCCCAGGACCTGATCCCCATCCGTAGAAACTCCAAGTCTTTTTGTCTTTCTAAGGAGACGTCAAAGAAAGGTAAGCGGAAAACAAGACTTGGTGATGAACAAGACATGATGAAATGAATGGTTGAAAGAGGTGAAAATTTCAGCTCTCCTGAGAGAGGTAAGCCTGGCTTAGTTGAAGTTGATAGCGGCATCTCTCAGCCACGGGGCATCTGCTGATGTTGAGTACATTGTGAAAACTCAGCTTTGTGGTCCAACTCTTCAGTCAGTAGGGTTTATTGTTGGACTCACAGGCTTGGAAAGAGAAGGATGTACTCCAGCAGCACGCTTTCTGTCAAGGACTTACTTCCTGTGAAAATGGAGAATAATACTTTACATCTGTTCTGCTACCATCACATACCCTGCATGCAACCCCTTCCTGTAGTATACATAATGATGTGTGTGTACATATGTGTGTATGTGTATATATATGTGTACATAAGTATGTGCATAATGTGTGTATATGCTGCCTCACGGATGTGTTATGTATGTGCACACACATGTGTATATGTATGTGTATATACACGTGTTTGTGTATATGTGTGTATATATGTATAGCTGTGTGTTTATGTGTGTATGTATATATATATGCTTCCTGTCATATATATATGTATTGTGTATATGTGTGTACATATTTGTGTATGTGTCTATGTGTATGTTTGTATATATACACGTTTGTGTATATATATGCATGTGTGTATATATGTGTGTACATATATATGCTTCTCGTGTGTGTGTGTGTGTGTGTGTGTGTGTGTGTGTGTGTGTGTATGAGAGGCAGCATGGCATGGCTGGAAATCTGGCCTTGGAGTCAGGAAGACCTGGATTCAAGTGCTGTCTCAGACACATCCTGTGTGACTCCGGCCAAATCAAGGCCCAAGACAATTCTCTAAGCTTGTAAAGAGCAGACCACATGCCAGTCTGCCTTGGTGGTAAGTTTCCTCCAGAGAGCCCCGAATGGGATGGAATCAAGGACCAGAACACGTCCCTTTAGGGCAGAGGCCTCTGGAGCTCCTTCCTTCCCACACCCCTCCCTCTTCCCGCACCCTCTCGAGGGAGAGCGGGTGGTTAAACTTCCAGTGTCAGCAATAGGCAAGTGCTACAAAACAGGGCTTGATTTATTGTTTTCTTGTTTATTGAGACTCAAGGAAGTAATTAAGAAAATGTTAATAATGCAGATTCAACTTAAAAGTGTTCTATGTGTCTGTTTTTTTCTACAGAGCTAATTATTAAACATTTACCAACACACCTCTGATAAACGATGTCCAAAAGTCTTAATTAAAGCTTGAAACAGCACTAAGACTTGTGAGATGCCATGTGTGTATGTGTGCGTGCACGCCACACTCATTTTTACATACACACACACACACACACACACACATATATACATTGTTTATAATTTCTCCAGCTCAAGTACTTCGAGAAAGACTTTGTTGACTTTTTTCCTGATCTTCTTGTGCTTGACCCTTAGCCCTGTGGTAGTGTAGGCCAGTATTGGATCCCTGAGGGTTGTCTATTGAATTAGAAAACCACAAATTAACATTATCTATGTAGTATTGCATTTTTATTTATTTTGTTAAAAATTTCCAATGACATTTTAATCAGTTTGGCTGCACTGGTACATTTGACACCTCTGCTGCAGACTATAGATTAGGGTTTCTCAAATGTTTTAATTTGTGGATCACTAAGTCATACCCTATATATCATCTACCATGATTATTTTCTATCACTATAGCAAAAAAAAATCAGGTTTATCTTAACTGCTACTATGGCTACATTTTAAAGATACTAATTTTTGGTATATTTTTCATAGTAGACTTGAATCTATTCTTTGTTTTGTTTTGTTTTGTTTTGTTTTTGCTTTTATGGTGAGGTGATTGGGGTTAAGTGATTGCCCAGGGTCACACAGCTAGTAAGTGTTAAGTGTCTGGGGCTGGATTTGAACTCAGGTCCTCCTGACTCTAAGGCCAGAGCTCTATTCACTAGCTGCCCCATTGAATCTATTTTTTAAAAGTTGTTCTCAGTTTTTGTGACTTAAAGTTTTGACTGGCCAGGATTTAGCACCTTGAGAGTCAATATTTAAGAGTCTTCTGCCTTTCAGGTCTCAGTTTCTCTGGTGCCCTCTATCAAGGACAGCCTCTGCTTTATTCTCACTTCTCTGCTTCTCTAGCCTCTCCTCTCCTTTCTCTCATATGGTTTTTTAAAAGTTTCAAAAAGTCAGATTTCATTATTGGTTCTGGCTTCCTCAGCCTCTCCAGGAGTTTCCCAAAGACCCAGCACTATCTTCATGGAAACCACACGCTTCTTGATGAAAGTCAATGCTGTTCAGGTAAGCATAGAATAACCCCGAAAAGGTGTTCAATGAATTACTTGTTTCATTCAAATGGTATCTTCTAAAGTTCATCCCAATGTAATCCAGAAGTAGATACACTCTTAAGAATGTGTTCTGGACCCAAGAGCAGAAGCATCAAGGTATTTTTTGTATACAGTGTTAACTCTTCAGGTCTGGCTGTGAAGGAGCACCAAACACAGCTAATCTGCTCCCTGGGGAGCTGAAGAATAACAATATTAGATTGCTAGTGTGATGTCTAGCATGGCATCTTTGTATAATGTGAGCTGTAATAAAAAGAGTTGGATTTGTAGAGCTTGCCTTGTTTTAGGAAGATGGATGGAAAGGAGGGGACAAAGCAGTTCTTCCCCAGTGAAAAGATCATGCCAACTTAATGTAGCATATGTTATCAGAAATGGCTACTTAAATGTGCAAGCTTATGGAGCTGGAGCTTGGAAAAATAAAGCTCTGAACCATTTTGTGGCTTCTCGCCACTGTGTTTGCCCTTCCTAGGGTAATGAAGCAGAATGCTTCGTGCTCTTAGAGAAGGATCTGGTCTTCGAGACACATCTCTGGGACAGACAGTTACATTCCACAGTCATCCTGGTGTCATGCTGGGGATCAGAGTTTGTCTCCATGATAGGTTAGTCACTTGGGAGGCTTGCTTCTAGTTCATAGGATTGTAGGTCTAGAGCTCGAAAGACCTCCTTTTACAGATGAGAAAATGGAGGCCCAGATAAAGTAAGTGGTATGGCCAAGGTCACACAGGGAGTCAGTGGCAGAGCTGAAATTTGAACTCGAGTCCTGTAACTCCAAGGTCAGTCAGTGTCTTCGCATGGCACCAAACTTTCTTCCAGGTCACAGATAACATCTGTAATGTGTTATCAAGAAAATACTGGATGTTTTAGGCACATCACTCACCCTTTGAAGTTGAGGAGAACCATGTTCTTCTTTCTCTTGGTATTCTCAGAGGGAGACAAACTCCTAGGCTAGATGAACTATGGGGCTAACTCCATGTAACCTTGCTAATGCCCCTAATATTCTGTTTGTTCTTGCTTTTCAGTATGTCCACAGGGTGCTCGCACATGAATTGCTGCACCCCCAAGGAGGCCCTAGCTGTGAATATTACTTGGTCCTGGCAGAGATACACCTTCTTAAGAAGGATTTCGCCAAGGCGGAAGAATACATCCACGCAGCCAGCCAGATGGATTACCTGGTGTTTATCTTTGCTAGGTCCTCTCATGTTGGAAGGAAGATAGGTGTAGCAGTGCTCACTGATGGGGGTCAAAGGGAACAGCCCTGGTGGGTGTTTCTCAATTTCTGGGCCTTCAGTTTAGGGTCAAAGTAAGAAGGAAGCTCCCATTGATGTCCTTGTGTGCCACATGCTAGACAGGACAGAGGACTCCCTCACTGTCAGATGGGTCACCAGCTTTGCTTAGGACTTGGAATGCCAACATTCACTACATTCCAAGGGCTCCCGTATGCAAGTTTGCTCAGTGACTGTTGTTCTTACTTTCTAGAACCCTAATGTCTGGGGTTTGAAGGGACACCACTTCTACCTGAGTGGAAATCATGCTGAAGCCAAGGAATGCTATGAGCGAACTCTTAGTTTTGTAGTGGATGCTGCTGAAATGCACTTCATCTATCTGCGACTGGGATCCATCTATCTGGAAGAGGGAGAGGTGAGGAATGCTAATAGAAAAATTAGGACAGGCTCCGTTTCTTCCTGTGGTGGTGGCTATAAGAAAATTACAGTGCTTTGCATTCTAATTTGTGAAATAACAGCATCTTTTTGTGGTTTTAAGGCAAATAAAGTTGTGATAAGAAAACTGTTCCCTTTTGGACAGTATGGTGTCATTGGTAGAGCGCCAGCCTTGAAGTGGGAACACCTGGGTTCAAGTCCCAACTCTGATACCATCTGGATGTGTGACCTTGGGCCAGTCACTGGCCAGTCACTCTCAGTGCTCCAGGCAGATCTCTAGAACAAGAAGCTGCCAGGATGTTTCTCTATCTGGGAGTTCTCCATGCCATATGGGAATCATAGGTCTAGCTCCCATCCAGATCTGTTATTTGTTGTCACAGGGCATGGTCCCTTCACTGAACTCCTTAGGACAACCCTGCTCCAAGAAAGTGATTCTCAGGGTTGTTGGCTCTCTTGGTGCCTGAATATCTGTTACAGCTATATATCACCTATTTGAGATCAAAGGGGGAAAATCTATTGGATTAGACCTAGAGTTGACATGTTAGGGGTGAAATGCACTGGAGAGGACTTGGGAGGCTTCTCGTTGTGAATAGGCACATCTAAGAAGCCTGAATAGTGTGTCTGTACCAGATGTATTTCATGTTCTCACCCCCCCGAAAGCCTCAGACACAACTCCTGAGAAAGCATTGTTCTAGATAGAGGAGTGACCTCCAAGAAGACTTTCAGTAATCCTCTCCTCTTTGAAGGCATTTTGTGGAAAGAGGGGATACTCCTGGCTTGAAAGCATGATTCACCTACGTATCTGTGTCCCCCAACATTGTTGGTAGATAAGGATGGCCTTGTTCTCACAGAAATCTCTGGCTTCTCTGGAATTTCTTCCTGGACAAAGTTGGTTTTTTTGAGGATGTTCCATCTGGTTTTCTTACCAATCCCTTTGTGATAGTTGGCATACTTACAGAAGATGTGAATGAAATCTAATCACGCATTTACCTCACACTGTTTTGGAGAGCAGTTACATCAGAGACCTTCATGGTGCCTACTTGCTGTATGAAGTCCATGATTTCCCACTGATGGAAGCTTAGAAATAACTCTCTTTCTACAGAACGAAAAGGCAAAGAACACCTACCTGTTGGCTTGTAAAAAATCACCTTCGTGCCTCACCTGGCTGGGAGTGGGAATCGCCTGCTATCGGGTAAGAGAATTAAGGCCTGAGGGTGGTTACAAGTCTACTTTTCTTGTTCAGGAATCACCTAGGCACCACAGTTGTTGTGACCACACTGTATGAACTCCAGAGCAGCCTTCCCCGTAGTGAAAAGCTCTTCCTTGGACTTGTTGAGGGAACCAGAGCTTGAGCAGAGCAGAATCAGCTTTTAAGCTTAGGTCTAATTGTTATGTCAACATACTTTGGTGTGTTATTGTTTCTTTAAGGAACTAGTTTAAGAAACCACCTTGGAACTCCCCAGTCTAGTGATAGTTAGCTGTGGCTCATTCATACTCCAGAGAGACTGCTACCGAAGAAGCCCGTTAGAGACACCTCCTTTGTTCTGGTTCTGGCCGAGGCTGGGATTCTAGCTAGAAAGCCTTTGTTCCCTGTTTTGGCCTTAGAGTCCCTTTACTTTCTAATTAGAAAGCACTGTGAGAGGGGAAAGGAAAAAAGAGAAGGTGCCACTGAGGAGGAAGGTCTTCTCTGTTTCCTGGAATGGCTTTTGGAGGGTTTTAAAAAGGGTTCACAATGCTGTAAGAAGGCAACCCTTATCTCAAAGGTCCTGTCTGCTCTGGGGCCCTGGTCTATGCTCTTAATGTGGCCCCTAAATACTGATTCCACTGACAAATGCAGGCCCTCAGAAAAGCTGCCCCAGGTTTGAGTCCTGATGGTCAGTATTCACTCTAAACTGTAGCTCATGAACCCCCACTGATGTATGTAAAGACCAGCCAGCCAGAGGACACATTGGTGCAAAATAAAAGACATTTATCAGACAGCATAGCAAATAAAATGGCAAAAAAGGCCCTCCACTACATACACATGGGATAAGCTTTCTCATAAGTGATCATACCACTAATGAGGAAAGGCACACATGCTGAGAACATGTGTGACCAGGGAACATAGGTGACAGGGAACTTGCGCATCCTCTGTGGGTGACCTCTGCCCAGCCCAGAAAGCTGCTTCTTTATACCAGCAAAGGCACACCTCTCCTTTAAACTGCTCCAGCCATGGTCATTTTGCTATAACATTATTAATGCATCGTAACCAACCCAATCATAAGATTAGCCAAACCCTGCAGTAATGTCATGAGATTAGGTACCCCTTTATAATCTTGTTCCGAAGAAACTGACAGTCCTCCACAGCACTGCTTCTCTCCACATTGCCCTTTGGTGTAGTCAGTGACATCAGATATGCTACACCAGCACTGAGAACATTCACTATGCAAGTAATTCTCAAAGTGCAGTGGAACTGGGGGGGGGTCCCCAAAACCCTTCCAGGTGGTCCGTGAGGTATTGTCATTTGCCTACTAAATACTCCTCCCTTTTCCAACTGCGTATCTGTGTGAGGCCAGATTTTCTTCATATGTTTCATCCAAAACCACATTACCACAGATTGAATGCAGAAGCAGATATAAGAATCCAGCTGTCTACTCAGGCAGCGAGGTAGCCCAGTGGATAGAGTGCTGGACCTGGCATTAGGAAGACCTGAGTTCAAATCCAACCTCTGATACTTAGTAGATGTGTGGTCTTGGGCAAGTCATTTTATCTCTGTTTGCCTCAGTTTCCTCAATTGTGAAATGTACCTACCTCCCAGGGTTGTCGTGAGGACTAAATGAGAGAATGTTTGCAGACTGCTTAGCACAATGCCTGACACACACACACACACATATATATATGTATATAAATGTGTGCTGTTATTATCATTGTCTTCTGTTAAGTCAGACATTAAAGAAACTTACATAAATATGTTGAATAATGCCACTCTTCATTATTTTATTAAATTAATATACCATATATTACTTAATAATAAATTGACTTGTATTAATAGTTTATTATCAGTTTCAGTTTCTAATATGGTAACTATCAATAGATATGACACAATAGTAAAAGCTGCTTGGAGTCCCCAATAATTTTTAAGAGTGTAAAGGGGTCCTGGGACCAAAAGTTTTGAAAATCTCTGCTTAAGCAGTGAAATCACAGTCCCTACCCTATCCCTCTGTCTGTATTTTTTTAGAGGAAATTAAAACTTTCTGGTCTATTCTAAGAGCATGTTGCTAGAATAGGACTTGCAGATTCACATTGTCAAAAGAAAACTTAGAATTGAACTTGACAAGCACAGTGGTTGGAGGGGAATTATGAAATTGTGCTTATATATCTTTGAGGGTCTTAGATATTAAGAGGATCATAAGCATTTGCTGGTTTTAGCTCATATGTTGCCTTTCCTTTATTAAGCTGGAGGAGCTCACAGAGGCTGAAGATGCTCTTTCTGAAGCCAATGCCATGAACAACTACAATGCTGAAGTCTGGGCCTATCTGACTCTGGTCTGTCTAAAAGTGAGTCTCCAGCTGCCCACAGACAAAGCCCCTTCCAGGGTAGAGAAAGAAGAATGGCAGGATTCTCATTTAAAATGTTTCGTTTTTGCGGGTCAGCAAAGATGTTCACTAGAGAGAAAGGGCTAGCTTTACCTTCTGAGGATTACAGTGTTCTAAAGTGCTTGCAAATGAGCTATTCTCCTGAGCTCAGGTTGCAAGGAGGTTCAGACAATGTAGGGGTTGAGCCTGAGGGGTCATGGTTTTAAAGGTTGACCAGATCAGACCCCATTTGGTTCTGTGCAACGAATGATGGCCCTTTTTGTGTCTTTCCATCCTGACAATCTGGTGGAAGTTCCTAGTCCTCAACATAATAGAGACGTGGAATTAGAGCCTATTGGCCTCACTCCATTAGGTTCCTGATCAGGGACATCATGGGCAGCATGACACTAGAATTCCAGGGAGTTTGGGATTTCTAAAAAAGGAAATAAATGAATAACTGGAATTTTCTCTTTGTGAGTAAAATTTTTGAAAATCAGTAATAGCATTACCTTGGAAAACATCAGTACGGTTGTGCAGAAATGCACAAAATACATGTATAGTATTGTATAATATTAACATATTTTATCTTTTAATACAATAATAATTCAGACTTCTTCTCTAGTACAAAGAGAGGGCCAAAAAATTTTACATGGATTTTTCAGATTGCAGAAATGCCTTGCCCCTAACTCCCAAGGTGTGGAAGGGATAACTGTAATCTCATGAATACCTTCATGGAGCAATGTTTGTAACATTGTAGAGCTCCATTGGTACTCTGTGTATATTTTCATGGAACCAACTAAAGACATTAGGACCCAGGAAGTTGGGGGCATCAATCAACTGGTACTTTGCCTGTCTTGTGGCTAGCAAGCAATCTCTTGCTCCCTTAATTCCTGTGATTCAGAATTGACCTCTATGGAAGTGAAAGTCCCTTTTATTTGTATTCCTGATCCTCACTCTCCTCCCTCTCTTGCAGTCCCTATCCTCTCCTTCCACTGGGCTCCCTGAGCCACCAGCCTCCACTTTCCCTTAGCCCTTGTGACACATTCTCCCTCATCCTAGGTCTCTGGGTCTTCTTCTCATACTCTTTCCCTCTTGCATTCATGAAAGCCTGGCTCTCTCCACATCCAAGAATGCCCTTTCCACTGTGGGTTGCTCATTCTCTCATGCCTTCTAACAGACTCGACCAGCAGGAGCCATTGGCACAGTCCTTGGTCCCTCTGAAGCCACCTCTCTGTGACCACTCCTCCTTTGACCTTCACTCTCTCTGTCTTACCCAGTACAGTCGCATGTTGCCGTAATCTACCAGACTTAGGTCCATATTCAAGGTGTTCATTATCTGGCTCACAGGTTTTTTCTCCACCCCAAACACTGCCTTCAAACCACTAGGGTCCCCATTATTGTGAACAATGAATCTTGAAGTGGTTACATGTATTTGAATTTGCACTATTTGAAGTTACAATTATATAATATGATCATTGGTTTCAGCCCACTGGAAATATAGTGTGAATCTGAATGATGTAACTACTTGACAGGATTCATGATTCACACTAATTGGGACCTAGCTGTATTTGAGTATTTAAATCTGTTTATTTATGTCTCCTCCAACAGTAGCCTTGCCTTTCAGACAATCAACCTCCTCAGTTCTTGTGACATGCATTTTCATTCTACCTTAGTCACCTGCAGGGATGGAGCATATCTTAGATCTCACCATTATTCCTAACTAGTGATCCCTTCATGATCTTGAAACCAGAAATTTCCTCCTTTGATCATATCCTCCCTTCCTTCCATCTCTCTGTCTGCTTCTAGTCTTGTGCTACTGAGTGGGGCTGATCTGCAGAGAGATGTTCTCCAGTCTCAATCTAGGCCTCCCTGCTATACCTTGCCTTTTTTTTAAAACCCCATTATTCTTTCCTGATGAACTCTGCAACATGCTTCCGGCTGTGACTGTTCTAAGGCACCTTTGACTCGAGCTCCCCCTGTACCCTGCTCTCCTTCATTGTAGTCGATGACCTCATTTCCTACTTGACTGACAAAAAATGTAGACTGTTATTTCGACTGCATATCTCAGTACTCCTCTAAAACTTAATAGATCTTTTCTTGCCATTCAGGCACTGAGGATGAGATGTTAATCCCTCTGCTTGTACCCTCATCCCATATTCTCCATGTCTTGAGTTCACCCCTTTGCTCATTCCATTTCTATTTCATCTTCAATCTTTCCTTATGTATCAGCTCCTTCCCTGATGCCTATAAACATGCCAAGATCTCTTCCAGTGCACTAGATTTTCCTCATTCATATGAAATCATGGATTTTTTAAAATATTAAAGTAGTCATGTTTATTATACATAATCCTCACTAGCTGCTGTTTTGTTTTTAGGCTGGGAGGCAACTGGAAGCAGAACAGTCCTACAAATACACATTAAAGGTTTGGCTCTGATCTCCCTATTGGTTTGGCTCAAGATAGAAATTGCCATTACCATGAGAAGGGCTGGTTTAATTCTGGAGGAAATTGCTGCTATTTTATCATGTTTTATCTGAGAATTATCATTGTGAGATTTGCTTATATTTGCTTTTTTCATGGAGCTACTGGCTCTATAATCTGAGTTCCCTTACTAAGCTATTGTGGGTGTTGATGCCTGGGATGGTATAATGAGTGCTGCATTGAGAATCGGTGTGGGTTCCAGCTCCATCTCAGCCACAAACGAACTGTGGGATTTTGGAAGAATCACTTAATCACTCTGAACCTTAATTTACTCATCTAGAAATGAAGGGATTGGGCTAAATTTAAGACCCTTCCTTGCTCTAAGAGTTTATGGTGGTCAGACTGGGATACTTCTCATTGGCCAAGAGATGTGGTTTATTGCTCCTTTGAGATCTTTGAATGGCATACCCATGAGGTACTCAGAAGAAAGCAAGAAGTTATGACAGCATCTAATTCTAATGAGCAATGGGGTGGGGATGGGGGGCTTGAGTGGTTTGAGATGTGCTAATAAAACCTTGCCAACTTCATCAGAGTGTATCCTATCGATTTTAATGCAGCTGAAGCTGAAGGATGAGGCTTTGCTCAAGGAGATCCACATGGTGCAAGACATGGTTGGCTTTGGGGATCCTTCCTTCTGATGTCTTCCAAAGGAGTCAGACAAGTTCTGGGGCTGAAGAACAAGACAGTCTGCCCCAGCAGCTATTTAATTTTGAGTTTTGTTTTTTTGGTTTTATGTTTCTTCCTTTTGTTGTTGTTTGTTTAATGTTTCTTCTCTTTGTTTCTTTATTATTGTTACTCAATAAGGTTAATAAAAGATAAGCAAGAAAATATGAAGCTCACCTAGGTCACTGGTGAGGGGACAAAGAAGGTAATAGTGTCAGAACTGGGGGGATGAACTAGAAGTAAGCACCACCAGAATTTCTGGGGGGAGAATGAGAGGCAAAGTAGTTTAGTAGAGAGAGCACAAGACCAGGAGCCAGAATTGGGTTCTGATCCATATCCTGCTATTTACTAGCTGTGTAACTGGGAAAATTCTTTCATCACTCTAAACCTTAGTGTCCTCATCTGCAAAATGAGTGGATTAGACTCAAAAATGAGTCTAAGTTCTTCCAGGTTTTTTTTTCCCCCCAAGGCAATCAGGGTTAAGTGACTTGCCCAGGGTCACACAGCAAGTATTAAGTGTCTGAGGCTGGATTTGAACTCAGGTCCTCCTGACTCCAGGGCTGGTGCTCTATCCACTGCACCACCTAGCTGCCCCTTTCAGGTCTAAGATGTTATGATTGTATGGAATCTCTTAAGACTGAGGAGTGGCAAAGCAAGGTAATGCCACTGGCCATGTTTACTAATGGGAGGGTGTGACCTAAAGACATAATTTTCTAGTGAAGAAAGATTGGTCAGGATATTCCGTCCTTGTTTTGAAGGAAGAGGAAGGGGTTAATACAGGCAAATTCCACAGAGATCTCTACTTGAGGAACAGCTGAGAAGCACTAGAGCAGCTGATTCCTATTTCGCCCAATGGGGTTCATGTGGAGTCCCTCCCTAGAGAGGACATAAAGCTGCCCCCCACTGAATAGGTAGTCCTAGGCCCTTAGAGCTAATCAGATATGTGGCCCATTGCCTACCTTAATCATAGCACAGCAAAAAAGGAAAGTGTAAAGTGAACACGTAGCTAACACTCTACATCAGAGGCATCAAACATGCAGCCTGAATACACACACACACACACACACGTGTGCAAGCGCCTGTGTGTGAACCACTCACCAGTAAATAAACATAAATAAACTGTTTTCAAAAGAACTGCTAAGTAATCATTACCACATGAAAAAATGTTCCAAATCACTAATAATAAGAGAAATGCAAATCAAAACAGCCTGAGGTTTCACCTCACATCCTGCAAACTGGCAAAAATGACCAAAAAAAAAAAAAAGGCAACAGTTAATGTTAGAGGAGTTGTGGAAAGACAGGCACACTAACACACTGTTGGTGGAGCAAGTGACTAAAATAAATAAAGTGACTAAAATGTCTATACCCTTTTAACCAGAAACCCCATTACTAGGCTTACACCCTAAGGAAGTTAGTTATCCATAAGTAAAAATCCCCATATGCTCCAAAATATTTATAGAAGCAATTTTTGTGATCACTAAGAATTGGAAGCAAAGCAGATGCCCATCTATTGGGGAATGGCTAGACAAATTATGATACATGAATGTAATGGAATATTACTCTGCTGTAAGAAATGATGCATGTGATGAATACAGAGAAGAATAGAGAGATGTATACATGAATTGATGCAGAATAAAGTAAGCAGAGCCAAGAAAACAATGTGAATGGAAAGAATGACATACCAAAAAATCAAAAGTAAATGTAACAAAATTATAAAGATCAAACAAGACTTGGAAAGAAGAGATACAAAAAGACACCCCCAATGTATCTCTTCATGGAGGTAGCAGGTCCACAGGTGTTACACATTGCACAAACTTTTGAACTTTTTCAATGTATCAATCAGTTGTGCTTTTTTTCCCCCTTTTCTCTAAAAAAATTACAGATAATAAAATAGATTTGTCATATGAGAGGGCTCTTAGGAGGAGGGCTGATACTATGGTGATGTAAGAAACAGAAAATATCAATTAAAACTTATTTAAAAATATAAAGACCTTCACAAAATTTTCTTTGATTAAATCTGTTCTTCCCGCTATTTCCCCATACTTGCTGAGCAAATTTAACAAAAAGTGAGGAGGCTTTTCTACTCACCAAAACCAACCTGTCTACATGCACCTTTGATCTCTTTCCCCATCTTTTCTTCAGTGGATTCCTCTGCAATCATTCCTCTATTATCTTTAATCTGTTTTTCCTGATACCTACAAACATGCCCAAGTCTCCTCAACCCTTAGAAAACCAGTACTAGACCCATCTCCTCGAGGTAGCCTGCTATATCTGCACTCCCCTTTACAGTCAAATTCCTCTTCTCTCACTTGGTAATCTTACCAGCTCTCAAAGTTTCAGTTTTTATCTCTGTGCAGCTTCCAATCCAGGCTCCCAAGCTCCACTCACGTCACCAACCACCTAATGGACATTTTGAACTGGATGTCTCAGGGGCATCTCAGAGCCAGAAGACATCTTTTCCCATTATCTTCCCCCCTTCTGAACTTTCCTTTTTCTGTCCAGAGCGTCGCCATCCTCCTAGCACCCAGGATTGTAACTGCAGTGTTCTTAACTTCTCATTCTCAATCTACTTATCCAATCAATTGCTAAGTCTTCCCACTTCTATTTTCACAACATGTCACATATACATCCTCTTCTGTCCACTCACATAGATAGCTCTCACCCTTGTTCAGGCTTCTTGTCTTGACTACAGCAACAGCCTTCAAACTGGTCTCCTTGCCTCATCCTCCCCCATGATAATCCATCCTTCACAAGGCTACTGAGGTGATTTTCCTGAAACATAGGCCTCACCATATGACTCCTGCACTACTGAATAAATTCTAGTGGCTTCTTATTACCTCCAGGTTCAAACTAAAATCTTTTGGCATTTAAAGTTCTTCACAACCTGGTTCCTTCCTGCCTTTCCCATTTCTGACCTTTTATTCCCCCCTTTCCAATGACTGTCCCCTATTTTTTAAATGCTCTACTTCCTCACCCGCACCTCTTACAATCCCCTGGTTTCCTTCAAACCTTGACTTTTGTTCCACTTTCTGCAGGCCTTGCCCAGTTCTCCTAGCTGCTAGACCCTTCCCCTCTAAGGGTACCTTCCACCTACTATAGGTCTGTGTACCCAGTTATTTAAATATTGTCTTCCCCACTAAGATGCAGGCTCCTTGGGGCCAGGGAATGTTTTTTCCTTTCTTTGTATCTCCATCCCTTGGCAGTGTATGGGGTCAATAAATGCTTGTTGATTGATTACATGCCTTATCTCTACTTCCTTTTTCATCACTTGCTCAAGTCTCTTCAATATGGTTTCTAATCTCTTATTAAAAACGGTTCTCTTAATTCCCAAATCTAAAGACCTTTGCTCAATCTTTATCCTTCTTAGGTTTTCTATAATATTTGACACTGTTGACCTTCTCTCTCCTCCTGATCCTCTCTCCTCTGTGGATTTTTTTACATTATTCTTTTCTCCCTTGTCTGATCTCAGCCTCCCTGGCTAGATCATCATCTGTATCACACTTCCTAACTGTGGGTTTAACCCAAGGTTCTATCCGGGGACCTCTCCTTTTCTCTCTACACTTTCACTTGGTGACCTCAGCAGCTCCCATGGTTCAATGACCATCTCTAGAGAAGATGACTCCCAGATCCATACTAGCTATCGACTTTCTCCCGAGTTGCACCAAATGTTCGTTGGTCATTTCAAACTCAATGTCCTCTGCACATCTCAAACTCAGCGTGTCTAAAACAGAACTCATTACCTTTGCCCCCCCCAAAAAATCCTCCATTTTCCCAGTCACTCACATTGAAAGACATCTTTATATCAACCTTGATTTACTCTCCCCCCCCCACCCCCAACAACTATCACTGTCTTAAAATCTTGACACTTCTAGCTCCCAAAATCTATAGGTCCACTTCTCTCTACTCCTGGCCACTCAATACTTCTCACCTGGGCTGTTCCAAAAACCATTTTATCAGTCTCCTTGCCTCCAGGCTTTCCCCTCTTCAATCCACCCAGCTGCTGAAGTGATTTACTTAAAGCTCAGGTCTTACCCCATCACTTCTCTGCTGAATAAACTCCAATGCTCTTCCCTCCTGCCTTTAGGATCAAATATATTTGTCTTCCCAGCACTTAGCAGAGTACCTGGCCCATAGTAGGTGCTTAATAAATGCTTTCTGAAGCTATAATAATAGCAGGCTTTTCTAAACTTGCTGTACACTATTCTTCTCCTGCACTGTGTGGCCATCAGGATCTCCTTGTTGTAGTTTATTCAGGACAATGCATTTCTCCTCATCACGCCTTTGCACGGGCTGTTCCCCATGCCTGGAGTGCGCTCCCTTCTCACCTCTGGCATGAAGCCTTTTCTGATCCCCCCAAGTCCCTTGTTTTATCTGGTACAGATTTTGTATATACTTGTGATGTATTCATGTTCTTCTCCTTTCCCTCCCACTACCAGAAAGTAAAATTAAGCTGTAGCAGCTTAATTTCTATCTCCTTATCCTCCAGGGGCTAGAATAGTATTTGGCACGCAAACGGTAGGCGCAGGACACATGCTCGTTCAACAGAATCCAGAGATGAGTGACTTAAAGGGGGCGGGACTACGGAAGCAAGCACTTCCGGGGTCCTCTATGCGCAGGCGCAGAAAATTCTTCGCTTCCGGTGGAGGGGACTGGATTCTGGCTGGGGAGGTGAGAGCCCGACCCCGCGCAGTCGCTTCGGTGGTCCCGAGTCCCAGCGGCTCTCCCTGTAGACCCCTGGCATCTCGTCTCCGTGTAGCTCGTTATGGTCCAGCTGAGTGAGTGACTACCGGGTGGGGCGAGGAATTGTGGCGTCCCTCAGCTCGGAGGAGGACGAGGGACTCGCGCAAGGCAGGTGGGGCGTGGAGAGGAGGGACCTAGTAGGTACAGTTAATCAGCGAGCAGGCTTCGCGCAGGCGCAGTGGGAGAAGCCCGTGGCTAAGTGCTGGTCCCTAAAGGAGGCGTCGGCTTAAGGGGGCGTGGCTTAAGGGGATTGGGCAAAGCGGGGCTTAGTTCCCGCCCCCGACATTAACCCAGACCCTGAGCAAATCCCTTAACCTGTGTCTTCCCACCTGGATTCAGCCACAAAGTCATGGGTGAACCCTGATATCGTTTCATATTCTAAGCTTGTTCTTGGAAGTACACCCGGGGGTGACTTGCACCATAAGTGGTTTCAGGGTTCAGAGCAGGGAGAGAGTCCACATTTATTTAGCACCTACAGTGTGCCAGCATCATGATTTTAGCAGCTTTGGTACCAGGTGGGGGACGGAGTTTAGTTCTTGAAGGGCGGGTAGGATTTGGATGGGCAGAGAAAGGGAAAATGCATCGGGCTGGAGCACTGGGGGCCAGGGGGGTCCCCTTCTCTGCCCAGGGCCCTTGTGAGCTGCTTCTTGCCCTGACCAGCTGTATTCCCGCAGCCTCCCTGCTCTGTAAGACGTACCGAGCCGGCCATGTGACCATCCGCCTGGCCCTCAGCGGCTGCACCAACCGGCCTTTCTACCGAATTGTGGCCGCCTACAACAAGCGTTCCCGAGATGGCCGGTACTTGGAGCAGCTGGGCTGCTATGACCCCCTGCCCAACACGAATGGGGAGAAGCTGGTGGGCCTTAACTTGGAGAGAATCCGGCACTGGCTAGGCTCGGGGGCCCATCTCACCAAGCCGGTGGAGAAGCTTCTAGGTAATGCAGCCCATCCACTTTAGAGGGGCACTGGGCTGTCAGGGCACCCCATACCATCCAGGTCTTGTTTACTGTGTTATCATTCATGGAAAACATCTGTGCAGCATTCCTCTGGAGGACTGAACTTCCCCCCTTCCCCAGCCAAAGAATGGGAAACTTGAATCCTGGCTCTAATTTAGGTTTTTCAACTTGAAGAATCCCCCTTATGCTAGCCTTTATAGATATTCTAGTTTTCCACTAGCAATGAGAGTGTTGAAAAGCCCAAGTTTTGCCCTTTTCAACTGGGAGGAATATCCCTAGTTTAAGGGGCAGGACCAAGTAACCTCCTCCTACAATTTATTTTCCTTTTTTGAGGGTGTAGATGACTGAGTGGAAGATTAAACATTTTATAATGGAGGGTAGTAGATTGGAAAGATCTCTGGACATTCATGAGGTCCAGATCCTAGCTGTTCCAGGATACTATGTTAGGATTATTGTGTCAAGACTCAGTGCCATTAGATAGATTCCCTAGAGAAGCAATGGTTTTGTGTTTACAACTGGACATTCTGCTGCTTTTAGGTCTTTCTGGATTTTTCCCTCTGCATCCCATGACTGTCACGAGTGCTGAGAGGCTTCGACGGAAACGAGCTCTTGAAGCCAGTTCAGCTTCTGAGGCAGTAAACACAGAGACAGCACCCAGCTGAGCGGTATGAGCAGGCTCTGCAAATCCAGTCAAGAAGCATTTCTTAAGTGCTTATCCTGTGCCAGACACTCTGCTATGCTCTTCAAAGAATACCATCTTCGAGCCACATGGTACACCTTAGTCTAAGAACTCATTCTGTTTTGTTCTAAGGTGAATAAATGGAACTTTCAGAGCTTTGTGTATTCTTCTGGAGCAGGGGTAGAATGGGGTAGTTGTGCTTTGTAGCTGTGGGTCTAGTGTTAGATTTCTGGAGGTTAGAGCTGGGCCTCCATGCTTATTGCCTTTCCTAGCTTTGAGATCTGGAGGAGACTGGATTTTTGGCCTTGGGCAGGCTGGGTTGGGAATTATTGGAGCACAGAATCTGAAGGGTTGGAAGGCCAGAAAAATTGGGGCAAAAATAGGATGTAATGGGAAATCTATAGATTGAAATCAGATTGTGAGGGGCTTTTAACACTCTGCCAAGGGATTTACATTTTATTCTAGTGGCAGGAAGGAATCACTGAAGCTCCTTGAGGAGTAGAGGGGTATAGACAGCCATCTCCATTTGAGGCCATCCAGAAGATGGTTTGAAGGGTGAGAGACTGGAGGCTGGGATTGAACAGTCTAGGCTGTGGACAGTTGGCATAGGTCTAATGGTTTCCTTGTCACCTGAAAACTTGAAAAATCTATCTAAAAATATTGAATCTGGCAATAGAGCCCTACAGCAGACAAGGGAAAACCTTCCTTGAGATTGACATCCATCCATTACTGAACTAGTCCAAATGCCTAACTGTGATCATCCAGGCCTTGATTCTCCATCTGGATTTTATGAAACTTTAGCAAATGCCTTGCTGAAATCCAGAACGTTATAATAACCCCGAAGTATCAGTCTAGCAATCCTGTCCAAAAGAGAAAATGAGTTTAGTTTGCTGACTTGTTCTAAAGGAAGCAGGCTTCTAATGATTACCATTTTCTCAAGTGCTCACAAACCACCAAATAAGTGACTCTAGGGGAAACTGACATCAAAACCCCAAGCCCTGCACATTATAGCATTTTTCTTTTTGAAAAGCAACACTTTTGCTTATGTCTGCAGTCATAGATGACTGACGTACTGTAGTGGCCTCATTAACAAAGGCTAAGTTTGCCTTGGGATGTAATTTGTCCCAACCAAGATACTTAAACTCATTTAGAATAACTGCATGTTCTCTTGCTGTCTTCCCATCTCTGCTGGGCTTCAAGTCCCACCTAATCCTGGCTGTTTTACTGTTTGTTTCCAGTATGAAGATCACTCTTGACAAAGAAGATGGAGGCAAATAGGAGTCAAGTCTTTTTTTCCTCTCTATTATCTTAGGCTGCATGCTGGCCTGTCCTTGTCCATCTTGCTACAAATAACACCTCCGCCCCCCCCCCCCCCAAATTTTGTTGTTGTTAGTATTTCCTCCAAGCCACGCTTCCTGAACCTGGCTGACAGTTTTTCTTAAATATCCATGTCACTCTTGGGTATTTGTTCTCCTTTATGTGTCTCTCATATCTTTTGTACATGTCTTTTTTCAAATCTGAATTCATTGGAGAGTTCACTCTGTAATCACAGTGGTCTCCAACATGCCTACTTTGTCTTTAACAGTTAGAATAATTTATTCTGTTAGAATTTTTTTTTTTTGCTTGCATTCTCTCTTTCCTAAACCATTGTCCCTTTTAGCCTCTTGGATCATGGGTTAGTACCTATCATTTTATTTTTTAAAATATATTTTCTTGAAGCTTTTGGGACACTTCTGATTGTGCCTACTGTTCCCTTTCGTGGCTGTTATGAACTTATTACCATCATCATCATCATCATCATCACCAAATATTTATTAAGCACCTACTACTTACTAGGCCCTGTGCTAAGTGCTGGGGATACAAAGAAAGGCAAAAACACTCGACGCCCTGGAGGAGTTCAGCCTGATGGGAGAGACACAATTTGAACATTATCTGAACACATAAGATATTATGGTATAATGGGAGGAAATCTAAGAAGAAAGGCACTAGGAGAGGGGGACACCTGGAAAAGCCTCTTGCAGAAGGGATTGAAGTTGAGTCTTCCAGGAAACCAATAGGCAGGGAGGGAGAGCCTTCTAGCCATGGGAGCTCTCATGAGGATAATATTGTTAGCATGATGGGGAAATGGCACCTACCACACCCTTCGCTTGCAAGTAGAAAGGGAGGCACATGTGCCTCCCTTCCTAGACCCTCCAGTGGAACTAGAAAGGATGCAGGCTTTCATCTGGACCAGCATCTGAACTTGACCGAAGTGCAGCAACAATTGCTCAAGCATCACCAAGAGGTGGTGCAACAGTGAAAGATGCAGGCTGGACTCTACAAGAAGGAAGCCATATTATAAATGAAAAATTATTAGCACAAGGAGAAATGCCTGCAGGACACAGACAATGGGAATTAATGAACTCGTATCGGCAGGTGGCTTGGACTGCTGTGACCCAAGCTGGAGTCTTCCCTCATCCATCAAGGGTATTTACTGCTTCATGTGATACTGATGCTCATATGTACTTTTTGTTTTGTTCTCAAGGGAGGCAGATGCATGCTTGGAACTGCTGTGCAGATTGTTTTAATTAAAATCGTGCTCTTGGTTATAGATCATCCCAGATGGCTGCAAGGACAGCCAGCAGCAAAAGGGTTGTGTGTAGTTAGATTAAGTACGTCAATTTAGGATAATTGACTCAGTTTTGTTTGAAGCCTCCTTTTTGTGATTTTGTCTTGACTGAGAGGTTTTGCTATTAGGTTGCATTCCTTTAAATTGTTTTTCAACAATAAGAAAAGCACTTATATGGTATAGTTTGATAAACAACTTTATGTGTAGTCCATAAATAACTAATACACATACATGAACCCCCAGATAGAACAGACTACCAATGAGAAAATATTGTAAACAACTTTATCAACAGCTTGTATAGTTAATTACCTACCAATAAAACTATGTGGTTAACAAATTAGGTAATAGACCACCAGTCAGAATTTGAGAGTAACCAGTGGACACCCCTATCTGCAATCATAAAAACTAGCCAGAGGTCCCAGTCATCAGCCTTCTCCAGTCATGAGTAGGACAGACTCCTGAGGTACTGTATGCTTGAGACTTAAGCTCCCCATCTTTTTGTGGAGCTGTGTTGATTGACAGAGACATAAGAGACGATGACTGTAGAGAGACACGTCCTCTGGCTGGGTGGTGAGAAAACCTTGTTATGGGCACTGGTATGACATATTTACTGATGGCACCTATAGGAATCAGGTTGTTGGTTTATTCCTAAAGGGGTTAATGTTTGTACTGTCAAATAGATAATTGTACATTATAGATTGAGGAAATTAAAATTATTCTATATCATTTAATTATTAATTCTATTCTGAAATTGACCCTATTCTGTATCACTGTCCCATTTTGTCAAGCCACACTTCTCTGTTCTAGAGTTAAGCTCAGGAATGCAGTTTTCAATCAGACTGAATTTAAATGTGTGGTTGAAAGGAAAAGTTATCATCCATGCTAATGGTTCCTGGGACATCTGTTGTATGTAAGCCCCAACTGGCTTAACCTGGTGCTACCCCTCCTCCCCCAAAGATATGTCATCTGTCTTTCCTGTTCTTGGGCAGTGAAGAAAGATCTGATCTCCTCCAAAGAGATAGGCTGGTGGTACTGGTCCCCTAACAAAGATTACAAGAGGCAGATGAGTTCCATAAGACAATTAATCCTCTATTATCAGAAAGGGGTGTGATTTGCCACACCTGAATGCCAACCCACTTCTCTTACTATAGCCTGGGTTATAATAAGGAACAGCACGGACAGCGTAACTGGGAAGCCTTCCTCACCCCCTCTGAATTCTAGTGCCTTTCCCCTGTTAATTATCTTCTATTTATTCTATATAGTTTGCTTTGTATATATTTGCATGTTGTATCCCCCATCAGATTCTGAGCGCCTGGAGGGCGATGAGCGCCTCATCTCTCTCTTTTTAAAACAACAACAACAACAACAAAAAACAGCAGTAAAAGACACTGAATGCCAGGATGGGGTCGGGTCATAGGGCGCCATTAAATATCGTTTGGCTGGAGGGTCCCATAGTCCTAAGAGTGTAGTTTTGGACGTGTCGAGCTTGAGGCCCTGGCGGCCCCTCCGGACAAAGTCTAATAGGAAGTCTGGGACGAAGAAGGAAGTGAGAGCTTTGTGTCTGGCCGACGTTGTCAGAGGTGACCTTTGGTGGCTCTCCTAGCGGGAGAGCATACACAAAGAAAAGGGATGAGGGGTAAATTCTGGGAGATTTCTACATTAAAGGAGTGGGAAGATGAAACAACAACAGAAAATTAGGGATCCGGAACCTTTCTAAACCAAGCAAACTTCAGAACTGTTTTTCAAGATTTTAAGATGATAGCCTTGCTCTCTAGGCAGAACGAACTTCAGTCATTCAAACAATATGGACTGACTACGGAGCTCCGGGGGCGGCGGTGGGGGATACAAATGGACAGGGTTCGAGGCAGGCTACAGGGACCCCGGCCCGCCTCAGTTTCCTCCTCTGTCGAACGTCGGGGCGGGGTTCTGGGAGCAAACAAGAATGACGTCAAGAAAGAGCCCGCCGTGTCTCCGTCCTCGAGATCCCGTGGGAGGGCCGCATCCCCCCAAGCTACGGGCGGCGGCACTTTCGGTGGCCATGAACAAGCCCAGCCTGAGTGGACGCCCGCCCACGGGGAGCGTCACAACGGACTGTGGGGCACGGACGCAGGAGGAGCTCAACGCCCTGTAAGTAAGGGAGGCGGCGGCCGCCGCAGCGGAAGAGACCCCGCCCTGGCCCGGGACGTGTTTGCGACAGTTCGCGCCGCGCGCCTTTTGGCGGCCGCCGTCACGTGTCCGCCGCGCTGCGGCTGCGCGAGGCCCGGCCCCGCCCCCCGGGTTATATCACGGCCGGCTCCGCCGCGTCCCGCCGGTCTGGAACCTCTTTCGCGCGGGAAGAGAAAGCTAGCGGTGTCCGGGAGGCGCGAGCCCGTAGACCCCCGCCCGGGCCGCGGCAGCCATGGGGCTCCTGGAGCGATGCAGGGAGGAGTTCGGCACCGCCGACCTGTACGAGGTGCTGCACGTGCGGCGGAAGGCTTCGGACAGCGAGATTCGGCGCGGCTATTACAAGGTGTCCCTGCGGGTGCACCCGGACCGCGTGGGCGAGGCCGGCCGGGAGCAGGCCACCCGGCAGTTCCAGGTGCGTGGGGGCTGCCCCACCCCCCCTCCCCACCTGCCCTCGGCTGGCTCTGGCCGCCCCGCCCCTGCGGGGGGTCGGCCTGCCGGGAGCCCCTCCCCCGTCCAGCTTCCCTGCGGTCTTCTCACAGTGGGGGATCCGGCCGTGGCCCCTTCGGCGGCTCCCCGGGGCGTTCCCAGCCGCCCCCCCCAGGGTTCCGGGGCACGCGTGGGCTTCCCCCGCCGTGGGCTGCGTGGGGGCGCCAGGGAGGGGAGGTCGCGCTGCTCCCGCACGCCCCCCTTCTCGGCCCCTGTGGGGCTGGGGTCAATGCCGCCTGCTGTCCTCCCTAGATCCTGGGCCAGGTCTACGCGGTCCTGAGTGACCCGGCCAGACGGGCGGTGTACAACGAGCAGGGGACGGTGGACGAGGAGTCGGACGCGCTGAGCCAGGACCGGGACTGGGCCGCCTACTGGAGACTGCTCTTTAAAAAGGTACCGGGGAAGGCTTCCCTCGCCGGGACGCCGGGACCTGGGTTTACGGGGCGAATGCTTCATTGTTGCATCTACGTGAAAGGGAGAGTGACAACCTTTCCGGGAGGATTGTCCTACTCCCGTCGAGGATGACGTCCCACATCTTCTGGAAACTCCGTTTCTTTAGCCTACTAATGTCCTAAGCCTGCAGCCAAGAGCCATCCTTCTTCGTGGTCTTCGGCAGGTAGCGAGAATTGAATGCTTCAGGTTGGACTCATACAACTGTTGTGTTGTGCGGAGTGATGAATGTAGCGTATGTCTATCAGCTGTCACTTTTAAAAACATTTAGACACACTTCCTAACTTCTAACAGAAGACCCGGAACTGAAAAAGCAATTTCTCCAGTTGGAGCTTTCCCCCTTATTTTTCTAGATAACCGTGGAGGACATTAAGACCTTTGAAGAGAAGTACATTGGTTCTGAGGAAGAGCTGGCTGATATCAAGCAAGCCTGTGTGGACTTCAGGGGCGATATGGATCAAATCATGGATTCCTTATTATGTGCAACGTACACTGATGAACCCAGAATACGGAACATCATCCAAGAAGCCATTGAATCCGGAGAAATTCTGCCCTATAAAGCTTTCCTCATGGAGTCAGATGAAAAAATGAATGCGAGGAGAATGAGGGTAAGAGTGTACTTTTGATAATGAGCGAGAAGGGAAAAGAGAAACTGGAGTTTTTATTTGCTGGGGTCATAAGTACTTAAACTGTGTGCAGCAGTCTTAGTGTCCTTACTTAGGTAACTTCGTGTGTTTCATGAAATCTGAGAAGTTTAGGAGAAAAGATAGACTAAAAGATTTTTTTTCCCCCAGGGGGAACTGACTTGTGGTTATGAATAATTTGCCTTGCATTTGCTTGAGATGATTTGGTAGAAGAAGGTAATTTTGAAAAGAGGAAAGAGGTTAACTTTTATTTGTTGAATTTTTTTCTTAAAATACTTTCTAAAAGTTCTGCCTTGGGTAGTCACTATTGCTCTATATGATAAATTGATACTTCAGACAAGGAACCTAACCATACTATTCTAACCTAACCTCACACTTTGAGATTTCTTCTCTGGAATATTATCAAGCAAATGGACTTTATCTTGGTCTCCTAGGGATTTCTTCAGCTTTATTCCGTTGCCTTCTGCCTTTCCTTTCCAATCTGATCTAATGCAGTAAACTTGAATAAAATTTCCCAAGTGCCCTGCTTCCACGGGAATCTGGCACAACCCCTGAATTTGAGAAATGTGCTTAATTGAGGGCAGTGTGGACAGCATGCTGGCCTCACTCAGGAAGACAGAGCTTCAGATCCCACCTCTGACATGTCACGTGAGCCGAGACAAGTCATGCAATGTCAATGCTGTAGGAAATCGTAAAACCCTACCTTTCAGAGAAGGTGCTCATCTGCATTAGTGAAGGGGTTGGTTTTCCTCATCCAGGAGTTCCTCTTGCTCTTGAAGTCACATCAATCCCTGTCCTTTTAACCAGATCCTTTTATATGCTCTAACAATATGCCTTGAAAAAAGGATAGACTTGGAAGGTAGGGGTGCTAAACAGAATGAACAGATTTCCTGCCAACTCCGAGTTTAGAGTGAATGTTAATGCAGAATTTGTTGGTCCTTTGGTTCTGTGGTAGATGACGTAAAGTAGAAGGCTTTTCATTTGACCTTGAATCTTAAGTGGGTTTTGTGTTTCAGGCTGAAAGAGAAGCCAGAGAAGCAGAAAAGACCAGAAGGGAGCTGGGCCTAGGGGATAAACCAGGTGATCTAAAAGCACTTATCCAGGTAAGCTCTAGGGGTGCCTAGGGCAGGTAGGACCCTTCCCCCTCTGGTTCAGTTCTTACCCTAGGGGTATGTTGCTTTTGTTCTGAAATGTGTTTTAACTCTTCCAACAGAGCAGACAAAAAGATCGAGAAAAAGAAATGGACAGTTTTCTGGCTCAGATGGAAGCAAAGTATTGCCATACTTCCAAAAAAAGGAAAAAAGACTGACAAGAAAGGAAAAAACTAATTAAGTAGATGGTTTTGTTTCTTCAGTGGGCCTTCTGTTTAATTGGTACTGACCCAACTACCTGAATAAAATTAGTAAAATCTTTATTATTGAGGAAAATGGTCCCCTGTGGCCTAGACTCTCCAGATCTGTGACTGTCTCATGAATAATTTATTCAGTCATTGCCCCAGCCCACTTTCATTGGTTATAATGTATACTCCAGAGTGTTTACTGGCAGTCTATTGTTTCTATGAAATCTCCTTCCTGGAAGAATTTAGTTTTCAGAGAATCTACATTTCCACAAGTCCACTTCCACAAAAGGAGTTCTAGACAAATTTTATCAAGAAAGGAGAGACTTCCAGCAGAACTCACTTGACACATAATAATGTGTCAATAATAACCACCAAACTACTCACTGGTGAGGAAATAAAATTCTTAAAGCAACAAGTGAACAGCTTTGTTCTAAATGTTTCCTTGCCAGGTTTGTTTTCATTTATTTATGCTGAACAAGATTTGTTTTATATTTTGTACTATTTGGTGCTGGCAAATATTTCAAAAATTTTTGTAAAAAAAAAAATTGCATACAATAAATTAAAATATTTCACTGCTACATCTTGAGGTCTTTGTTTCCAAAAATGATGTTAGGAGTGGGAGGGCTTGGTAAAATAGAGCCAAAAGAGTCTTACCAAGAGCTGAACTTGATGAGTAACTTGGACTGTTTTGAAAGAAGAGAAATAGCACCTAGCTAGCATATTTATATTCACAAATCTTTCAATGAGGCCTCCTCAAATACTTGGCAGTTTTGCAGAGGAAATTGAATACTACATATTTTCCCCTCAAATGTCAAGACCAAGACTTCTGTTGGAAGTTTGTCACCATGGATCCTAAATTAGGAGGGAAGTGGAGGACGCAATGTCAGTTACTTCCAGTTTTTGGTCACAAATGTTATCGGTTACAAAATAGATTTTTTAATTGCATTCAATTAAAAAAATATAATTTCATGCAGTTTGAATTCTCCCACCTCATATTTGACACAGTGATAACATTGGCCATTTTGTTATCAAAGGATAGTAAAGTAAGCTTACTTTATAATTTCATGAGTTCTTTTTCCTTAGGAGATGATATAAACAATAAGACCTAAAACTAATTAAATGATCAGGTTTAATTACAAATAAAGTTAAGTATTACGTAACTAAACAGTTCTTGAAGATAAGCTACATTTATACCATTGTTGTTGGCTACTCCACTGTCATCAAAGCAATCTGTTTGAGAATTAACTTCTGAAAATCCTCAACAGTTGGTGGAGCCATATAGAAAAGTTCCAAAAAATGAAATGAATTTGTTTCCCTCCTAGTGTTGCTGGAGAAAATTTGGCAAAGTGGGAGATTGAATATTAAAGAAATCTGACCAATGAAGCAGAATTAGTAAGAATATAGGAAATACCAGTGTCTATACAACTTCACTTGAAATAGAGCTGGATCAGTATCACTTTAAAAAGCTAAGATCTGGCAAACTGGTATATTCCAATACAGGATAAGTCATATTTCTCTCTACTGATGCATCATGTTTTCCAGTTGGTCTTTATTTACTGTCAGTTTTAACCCCAGTAAATATCTGTGGCCAAGTTCCCTAGGGATCAGTCTGGCTAATTTTGGAGTATACTCTAGGAAGGATTTTCATTTGAATGGCAGTTCAGCCTTCTAATAACACTGCTTCTGTAATGATTTCACTTGAAATTAAGAAAATCAAAATATTTTCAGGAGTTTAAATATAAGCAGAAGAGTTCTGGGGAATATGACTGCTTAAATGCTATAGCAGTAAAGTAACTGCTGCTTTTCAAGCACCTGCAGTTACCTCTTGAATCCTGTAGTATTGATAATCCTGCTTGACAGATTATACAAGCAATGATTTGGCGGGGGGTGGGGGGGGGTGAGTGTGCATCTTATGTAAAAGTCTTTTGTCCAGCAGAATAGCTTAACTTACTCTGAAGGATGATAAGCAATCCACACAAGCTTTGGCAGACACCGTGCAGTTTTTCTCCCAGTAAGTTATACAAAAATAACACCTCATCAAGATGATTTCAAGTTTTTCTTGTAAACAAGTTCTGCATCACTGAGCTGACTGAATACTGATTCACAAAATCCTCAGATGAACTCACAACCACCTGACTACAGGGTTTTTGGTTTGCCCTATGGTCCCTGTCTGGTTCTAGTGACTGGTCCCCCTCGACTTTGAGATCTTGCAGGTCCGTGTAACTGAAGACCTATTAGACAAAGATAATAAATACATTAAGTAATATTAATGGGTCTTTAAAAAAAAAAACTCAAGCTAGTTTTTGTTGCCTGCTGAGTACTAAGAGGGAGCTCTTAGTACTTAGCAGGAGGGGAGCTAAGACACTTTGTTACATTAGGCTAGGACATCAGAGAAAAGTATTTGATGAAAGGTGGGGAGAACATTAAGAAATGTGGGAAACTAGTTTGGTGGCATAAAGGAGAAGGGGGAGCTAAAGTAGGGCGGGGCCTTCAGTGGAGGCAAAGGAAGGATGACAAGGAGCTATGAAAAGCTTTTGATCAAGCAAGTGCCACGAGCTGCCAAAGCTGTGCCTCTAGCTACGAGTGGGAAGTGGCTGCACAACAGGCACGTGGAACTGCTGGATTTGGAGTCAGGACCTGGTTTCAGATCCTGGGGGGGGTCGGAGGGAGGGGAGGGTTCTGGACTCTCAGAAGGCCTATGAGGTCCTTTAATTTTTTATCTGTGATCCCAGGATTTTAAAACAAATCTGGCAACAGTGTAGGTCTGGATTAGAAAGAAGAGAAGAGGACTGGAGAACAATTAGCTAGGAATTCAATGTGACAGACAAAGAATTTTTCCACAAAGAGTTCTCCATACCAGTTAATCACAGGTAAAAACAATAGAAAATTAGATTTGGAAAAAATTAATGAAATGAATTGTTTAAATCAAATCACATTAAAAACATCAATAATTTAATTTCAGTCTGATTTTTTGTTGGATTAAATTATATATATTTCAGTAATATTCTAATTGTTTGCATTGGTCTTTACTAAAATTCACCATTGATTTCTAACCCAGTAGGTGTTATGGAGACAGGTAATTCCAAAGAAATTAATTTGTGTACATGTAACATCTTAGTAATTGACATAGTAATCTGTAGTTATTTGATGTTATAAAATGATGTTATTTCATTTATGCTCCAGAACAGCTAGGAACACTGGTGTATATATATAGTACAAGTGATAAGAATGGATTCTCAATACATCTTGAGTTTAACTGATCATTACAAACAATATTTTTTTAACTGGCTACTTCTGTTGAACCTCACCTATTGAAGGATGATTTCTGTTCTCCTTGTCCTCCTTAGGAGAATTACCCAGATGCTGGTGGTGAAAAGAACCCATGTGGGAGGAGCTAGCCGTCCCTAAACTGATTCCTGTCACTCCTAGGTTAATGGAATCTGTAGAAAAATAATTTAGGCCATTTAAAAATTTGAAGTTTTAATGCAGCAGCATATTTTGATGAGACCAAACTAGTTTCAGGTTTACTGCCTAACTGTCCTGCCAATTATACTAATCAAAATGAATTTATGCCATTCTCTAGAGAGTGATGGTGAAACGACTGCTTCTTTGGTGGCTTTCATTAGCTTTAATAGTTTGTAACTGAAAAAGAAACTATTGTAGTCCTTATTAAATTCTATTTGAGTTTGACAATAATATACTTTTTACAATATAGCAACTATATATTAACTCATGTTAAGTTCACTCCACAAACTTTTTATATTCAAAGTTTAAATATATAATATCTGTTACCTTGTATCAAAAAAAACAAGAATGAAGCTTACCTGTACCTGCAGATCCCCTTCCAGCCCAGGACTGATTAGAATAATCAATAATGGTACAAGATCGTCGACACTGTGTCTCTGGCTAGAAGGAATGGGTGAAAAGTAACTGAGTCTTCCTTCATTAACTTTTCTCCCCATATGCTAAAGATTTAATGTTTTAATATATTTAGGAAGGAAAAAAGCTTTGAATTATTAGAACAAGCTTCATGCAGACTTTCAAAGCATTACACATACAGAATGCCAGAGGCCACACTCCTATTCATAGTATCTGAATCTCAAATCATTCTTACCCTAATATGTGTAATGTATATGCAATAAAAAATATATACACAAAATATATAAATACATATGTACATATATATATTTATACTTCTTGTCTATATGTCAAAAATTTGTTAACTCATATATATGGCTTAGTTTTTTTGCTTGCTTCCAAGAATATTAAATATTTGCTCATTGTCCAGTGAAATAATGAATGGGATTAGTCTCTGTATCAACATCATAAACCTATTTTGCTATCTAAAACCTGACTTCACATATTTCCATCCTTTTAATCTTAATAACTTTACGAAGTTTATCATATTGACAAGAAACAGCTGGTTCACAATACAAGTTATTTCTGAATCAGCTGTTTGTTTCCAGTCAGACTACTCACTAACTTGTTAGAGTAAAGATAAAAATCAGCATCAAAGTAGAGTAAAGATGGGACAGTCATGACCTTTCAGGGCTCCAGGAAACTACAATTATAAAGTGCAGAAATATTACTACACTGGTGGAGGGAGCTTCTTATACTAATAAAATCAAAGGTCCAGTCCCTATCTAACACTTAACAAGGCTGAAAAAAGGGGGGATGGTTGGTTAAAAGGACAGAAAGTGACCTATATTTTATTAGCCATTCCTATAAAAGTTTAATTCAGGTGATCATTACATATGCCGCTGTGGGCAAGAATCCCTTAGAAGAAATGGAATAAGGCTCATAGTCAACAAAAGGGTGAGAAAAGCAGCACTGGGGTATAATCTCAAAAATGACAATGGTATCTGTTCTAATCCAAGACAAACCTTTCAACATCACAGCAATACAACTCTATGCTCTAACCGCTGAGGCCAAAGAGGCCAAAGTTGCTCAATTCTATGAAAACCTACAACATCTCGAAATAACACAAAAAAAGATGTCATGTTCATCATAGGGGATTGGAATGCTGAAACAGAAAAGCAAAAGATAACTGGAATAACAGTGAAGTTTAGCCTTGGAGTACAAAATGAAACAGGGCAGAGACTAATGGAGTTGTGTCAAGATAACCCACTGGTCATGTCAAACACTCTTTTTCATCACCTCAAAAGGTGACTACACATGGACATTACCAGATGGTCAATATCAAAATCAGATTGATTATATACTTTGCAACCAAGAGAAAAATCTATAGTCAGTAAACACATGACGTGGAGCTGACTGTGACTCAGATCATGAGCTTCTTATTGCAAAATTTAGACTTAAATTGAAGTAGGGAAATCCATCAGATCGTCCAGATGTGACCTAAATAACATTCCTTATTATATATGAAGTAGTGGTGATTAGTGGATTAGATCTAGCAGAGAGAATGCCTGAAGAACTATGGACAGAGGCTTACAGTATTGTATGGTAGGCAGCAACAAAAAGCATTCCAAAGGAAAAGAAGCAAGAAAGCAAAATGGCTGTCTGATGAGGCTTTACAAATAGCTGAGGAAAGAAGGAGAAAGGGAAATATACACCCAACTGAATGCAGAATTCCAGACAACAGCAAGGACAGAGATAAGAAGGTTTTCTTAAATGAGCAAACAGAGAAATGGAAGAAAACAACAGAAAGGGACAGAAAAGATCTCTTCAAGAAAATTAAAGATATCAAGGGAATGTTTCATGCAAAAATGGGCACAATAAAAGACAAAAGTGGTAGGAACTTAAAAGTAGAAGAGATTAACAAGAGGTGGCAAGAATATACAGAAGAACTATACAAGGAAGATCTTAACATCACTGATAAACACTGATAAGTGTGGTTACTGATATAGAGCCATACATCCTAGAGAACGAAATCAAGTGGGCCTTAGGAAGCACTGCTGACAATAAGACTAGTGGAGGTGTTGGAAATCCAGCTGAGTTAATTAAAATCTTAAAAGATGCGGCTGCTAAAGCGCTTCACTCAATATACCAGCAAATTTGGAAAACAAAACTCAACAGTGGCCACAGGATTGAAAAGGTCAGTTCAGATTACCAAACAATTGTGCTTATTTCATATGCTTAAGAATCTGAAAACTAGGCTTTAGCAATAGATGGACCAAGAATTACCAGAAGAGCAGACGGTTTTTCGAAAAGGCTGAGGAACCAGAGACCAAATTGCCAATATTCAGTGTATTATGAAGAAAGCAAGAAGGTTTCAGAAAGAAACATCTAATTCTGCTTCATTAACGACACTAAATTTTTTGACCGTGTGGCTCACAACAAAATCTGGCAAGTCCTCAAAGAGAGGGGAGCACTAGAGGATCTTGTCTCCTCAGGAGCCCGCAGGCAGGTCAAAGAGCAAGTCAGAACCGAGCATGGAACAACTGACTGGCTTAAGACTGGAAACGGACTATGACAAGGGTGTAGGTTGTTCCCTTATTTATTTAACTTAAATGCAGAGCATATCATGTGAAATGCCAGGCAGGATGAACTGAAAGCTGGAATTAAAGCTGCCAAGAGAAATATCGACAATCTCAGATATGCAGATGATACCACTCCAATGGCAGAAAGTGAAGAAGAATTAAGGAGCCTCTAGATGAGGGTGAAATAGGAGAGTGCAAAAGCTGGCCTGAAAGTTAGAATTAAAGAAATGAAGATCTTAGCAACTGGTCCTATCACTTCCTGGCAAATGGAGGGAGGAGAAATGGAAGCAGTGTCAGATTTTATATTCTTGAGCTCAAAGATTACTGCAGATAGCAACTGCAGCCATAAAATTAAAAGATGGTTGCTCCTTGGAAGGAGAGCTGTGGCAAATCTGGATAGCATACTAAAAAGCAGAGACATCACCCTGCTGACAAAGGTCTGTACAGTCCTCAGAGTTCTCTTTCTACTTGAGTCTGACACCACTGCCCTAGATGAATTTTGTGACTTGTCTGTAGGAAAGGTCCTCTGAAGGTAGCATATTGGGAAAAATGTGTCTAAGACAAGGATGCCTGTTACCTCTGTTTTTGGTAAAACAAGGATTTGCATGGGTTGAATTTCACTCTCAAAATAAACCTTGCTTAAGAATCCTCATGCCTTATGTCAGTCTTAAAGCATTACTGTCATATGTGATATTAAGTACGCACACAGATTTAATAGAGCTTCTAAAATATATTCCTAGGACTTAGTAGCTATTATTTTTTGCCTTAACTTTTTTGTTTGTTTTGGGTATATTTTCCTGTTATTCCTCTTATCAAGATCTCATGCATTCATCTGTCTCACACTTCATTTTCTGCGTGGAAATAAATAGGTGGGTCAGATCAGCACACCCATCTTTGTCACTATAACCCCAAGTTAGGGAGTAAATAGGCCAAATCCATCACTCTCCTGGAACCTTCTGGGGCTCCACAGTGAGCAATGCTGGCAGCCTACATTGGCCCCTTCTCTAGCTCTGGAAGCTGCTGGCAGAAAAGCTGGGGCTGAGCCATCTGCAGGGTACTAGATGAGCAGGTTATCCCTGCAGGACTCCATTCTGGCATGAAACATGTTGACAAGAAAGACTTTTTACCATTATTTTTTGTTTAGTAATGTCAAGATTCCAAATTTACATATCCTAATGCAAAACCAAAGCTCATTTCACCCAGTTTGTCCTCAAAATCCTATCCCCCTGTTCTTCTGGTAGTCCTCTAAGAGTGTGTTAGGAGGGCTACTGTGACTAACATACAGGCTGGCTGTGTACATAAACCACTGGTTTAATTTTCTCTCATTTATTCTCAGAGGCCTAAATTGAAGCTTTAACATGTTTTAGAGTATATGGTATTAAATAGTAAACAGGGATAAGGCCTCTGGTCCTTGTCCCAGCTCCAACACCAGCTGGGCAAACCTGGGCAGATCATGCCAATTTTATCATTTGAAGAATGAAGGGGCTGGATTAGGTGATCTCTAAGCTGTCTTCTAACTATCAGTAAGATTCTTTAAGAAACTCTATACATGCACTTGCCTCTGTTAATTTTTGGTCAGCTCTCATTGTGTTGTTTTCACAGACAATTAATGGTTTTGCTAGTGACTCAGCATAAGTCATTGGCAATGTTAACCTCGTCTGCAGTGTCCTAAGCAATACTATCTCCCTTTGCTCTCTGTAAAGTTACATGCTAAGCTTATAAACCAGCATTTCTGCCCATCTTGTTCCCCAATGACAAAGACCAAAGAGGATATTTGCACTCTACCAAAAATGACTGGGTGGTGTTGGGCCTGGAGAAAAAGTCAGGTAACAGGAGCCTCTCCTGCGGCTGCTGGTTAGGCTGATCCACCACTGTGCTGCGAGCTCGGCTAGAATCACCTCGGGATTTCTACGGGAGAAGGCAAAAGATCAGACGGCCAGTGACTGCTTGGGTGTGTGGTAAGCCTGCACAAGCCCCACACCAGCCTGCAAGACAGCGTTCTCACCAACGACATAAGCTTCGCACTTTGAGCAAGCGTGACTCAAGGGCGAGGTCTCCCCAGGAGAAGCCACTCCTGCCCACCCAGGCAGACGCTCCCACTGACACACACAGACACATACGCCCGTACCGTCTGCCGCTGTGATGCCACACTCCTCAAGTGCTCCACATCAGCTGTGCCTATTGGGGGGAGCAGGTTATTTCGACTCAGTGGCATTGGTGAAGGAGACAAGGAGTCCGCTGCTGTTGGGCTGCCGTTCCCCAAGAACCGGAAGAAAAAAGCAGACATGATTCATTCCAATACAAATGAAATGCCTGAGTACCCAGGCAGAATTTCATTTAAGAAAATATTTCAGCAGCGCTTCCCAGGCTTTTTCTCTTCTGTAGTCTGGGGAGAGAATTCTGTCTCACAGTTGGAAAATCTCAGAATAAGGGCTTCACTGACAAAATCTCAATGATTTCTTTGCAGTACTGGGTCTGGGTACAGCTTGGTATCATGTCTTTTACAAACAGTACTGGAAGTAATCTGTCCAGCCTATGAAATATCTTTCCTTAACACAAGTGTGGATTAACTACCTATCACTGATACCTGACATTGCAAGTACAACCCACTGATGCTGTCAATGTGCCAGAAAACAATTCTCTCTCTCTCTCTCTCTCTTTTTTTTTAAGGCAATTGGGGTTAAGTGACTTGCCCAGGGTCACACAGCTAGTTAAGTGTCAAGTGTTTGGTCTGAGGCCGCATTTGAACTTAGGTCCTCCTGACTCCAGGGCCAGTGCTCTAACCACTGTACCAGCTAGCTGCCCCCATAGTTATCATTTCTATATAAACATCCAATACAACAGAATCCTGCTCTCCAAGATGGCCACTGGTGCCATGTACCATTCCTCCCTCCCCATTTTTTCCCTCTTCTGGTCAGTATTCTCCTGTGCAAAGCAATCTAGTTAATGGGTGGTTAAAAAAATCAAGAAATGATCACTTTGGGTTACAATTAGTAGTAAAGCACATTTAACTTGAAAACAGTCTACAAAAGTGGGCACAGACAAAAACACATACATGTGCTGGGCACTGAGGAGATCTCTGTTCTAAATCTATGAAATATCTAATAAAAGAAATTTTATATATCTATATATATCTCCACATTATTTGGAGTGATCAGTAATATCGTTAAATGAAGGAACATCCTGGAGGATGGGCTAATATTTTACAATAGGAGTCCCACAAAGACCTTAAAGGAATATTTTTGCTAGTATGAAAAGTTGCTTATTTGATTTTAAAAATAAGAGTATCATCATGAATAGAATTATTCACTCTTTGGGGATGTAAAGAGAATTCTTTTCCTTTTCAGAAGAAATATCAGACTTTGCCCTCATCTTGGACTAAGCATCATTTTGCATACCCTCTACTTTATTATTAACCTCTTCCCCAGAAAAGATAGTATTCTTGGTTAATTCCATAGCTATATTTGAGTCAACAGGTTTCTTATGCATGGAGATGCATGAGATCTAGAATCTATTTCATATTAAAACATTTTCCCCTATTGTTCATTCTGTATTGTGTTCAAGTTAACCCATCAGAACCAAATTGTAACTATGTAGTTCTAATTTTTTCTCCATTTTGAGTTATTTTACCTAAAATTAATTTTTCTTTAGTTTTATCAGAGCTCTCTAATTTTACAAAATATGATTGTGAACCTACAGTCGGGTTCCTCTGATGATTTCATCCAGCGGTCTTGGTGTCGCTGAGCGTGAATGGCTTGTGCCAACTGGATGAAGGGTACGTGGTGGCGGGTTGCGCCTCCTGGCAGATTGTGCCGTATACGATAGAGACGACGAACTGAGCTCCAGTGTGCGATTTGGCCAATTTCGGTTAGAAAGGATGGTACTGGATCCAGGTCTCGTAAGTAGCTTGTCATCTAAATCTCTAGCAGCCAAATGAAAAATCCAGAATTTAAAATATGACTCAACAACACATTCAAAATGGAAATGGAAACATCTCACAGTATAAAAGCCTTGGTTTATACAACACACTCAAAGAAAAAAAATTTAAACTTGAAAATAAACAATTTAATCCCAAGGAATAATCTGCTTACCCAGGTCAGATAAATTAACCCTTCCTTAAGAATATGGTATAATTTTAGGTACAAACAGAAGTAACTGGGAAAAGTAAGCTATTCACTTGTCATCAGAGACAACCTTACTAGGGCCTACATGCAATACCTAAAAATGTCTCCACACTGGTCTGCCACCACACCTGAAATTTACTCTAATGGAATCATGCTTAAAAAGTTCTAGTTAGAATGCCTCTGACTGGCTCAATGTGGAAGGTATATGTTGTACTGCTAGTGCCTTTCAGTAGGGAGCCTACAGTGTAATATATCTGTGTTTGAAGAGTGCCAACTAGGACCAATCCACTTATATTAGGATGAAGTGTTTGGTGATCCACAGAACTGCCGTTCCTGAAAAAGTGAATCCTCTGACAAAATGAAATGGAAGATCTAAATAGTTCAGTGGCTTATCTATACTTTTGTGGGCTTAAAACTAAAAAGTTAGCATTAACTGTCTGCTATGTAGAGGTCACTGTGCTTGGAACTGGGGAACACACGTTTAAATAAAATATGGCCCATTGCTTACAGTCTAGTAGGAAGAGGGAACAGATAAACAACCAGCAAAACACAAACAGTAAATCTTTCGTATTGTGTTGTTAGGATTACTTCTTTGTGGGCAGAGATACATATAGATATACTTCTTTATATCCCTCAAGTGCTTAGCACAGTGTCTTTCGCACTGTATATGTTAAAAAATGTTGATTTACTGAATTTCCCATGTTTCAATAATCTACAAAGTCCAGGGCCTACAGATTTTTTTAAAAAGAAGAAAAAAAACCCTTTCTTACAGGAGCTTGTCCATCAGAGAGAGATTTCTTGGCTGTAAGGGCATCCCATGAACCAACAAACCATTCACATTTGGCTGGTGACTACCACTGGCTGCTTGACAGAGACTCATCTACAAGTCAAAACAAAAAAACAAACAAAACCCCACCCCCACATTATTCTTTATTTGACATTAGGAACTTGTTCAGTTATCTGATCTTTTTAAATATTCATTTGACAGTAAAAATGGAGAGCTTTTAAATGGGGGGCCATCCAATCTGCTTCTTAGCTTCTTGCTGATGTCTGTAGTATATTGGTATATTGCCTCTAGCCTCAATTATAGCTTGAGGTCCAAGGTTAGGAAGTGTTCTTTCTAGGTCACCATATCTGGTCTAGGCAAAGGATATCCTGTCAAGGATAGAAGCCATTTTCATAGGTAGGAAGAGAATAAACTTTGTCTAATAATTCTTTAAGTATAATAAATCAGAACCTAGGCAAATATACAAAGAAAAAGTTCAAATAAAATACAAAGCAACTATAACAAAAGAGGTAAATTTGCTCATTTACTCCTGCTGCTCTCTTTTTAAATTCACAGATAATCACTACATAATTCATGACTTTGCTCCTAGTATTCCACCAATTCAACACTTAGTTGCATTTTTATTTACAACGCAGCTCTTGAGAGGGAGTGTGAATGGACTGTTTTTAAAAACTTCACCTGGTACTTTCCACAAGCCCTGCTTGACTGATCTCGGGCTAGTCCATCATTGGCCCCTGGGTCAGTCCATCATTGGCCCCTGGGTCTTGCTCAGTGTCTTTTTCCAGTGTGAAGGCCAGCCCCTCCCTATGTCAACTGCCACAGAATCTTTCCTTTGTTTATTTTTTAGGAACATCTCATGTGAAAAATTTATACTTTCAGTCTCCCCCTTCACAGATCCAACCTATGTAAAACTTTTACATTAAAGAAATATTAAAGTCTCTGTTATATCACAAAAAAATTATGAGTTGGGTGTTTTATTTGCAACATACAGACACGACCAGATTTTGTCTAGGAGAAAGCTCGAGTGGGTTAGGATTGTCTAAGTCTCAATTCATAAACTGGGACGACCTCTTCTCTGAGTCAACACGTCCTCTTGAAACCTGCACTTATGAATGAGGATAAATATGTGACCAACCACAGACAGATGGCCATCTTTTTTCCCTACTGTAGATTTCTCCGAGATAACTCTGCTCTCTTTTTGACTTGCCTATCGTGTCTGGGATATGAGCTCTGCGCATCCAAAAAAGGTCAATGGAAGGAAGGCAGAAAGGATAGGAAAAAGGAAAAAAAGGATAAAAGAAGAAAAAAGGGGGAGCAGGAAAAAAGGAATAAATAAATATAAAGAAAAACCCAAGATAGTTCTCAAGACTACTATTCTCATTATTTTAGGACCATTTTGTGTGGAATGAGAGGAAAATAATACATCCTTCATAAAATTTAGATTAATGTAACACAGAGATTATCCTAAAGGATACAGACCTTGGTTGCTTCTTCAAAAGGCCTGCCTGAGAGTTATAAAAAACTCCCCTATGGTCAGAATCTCATCATTTTAACTAAACTAAAATTACAAAAAGAGTCCACATTATTATAAAAGATATTTTCCATCATGAATTAATGAATGTGGTAGAGATTATTTCACGTTTCTGGACCACAATGAGCAAGATGGGAATGACATAGAGGTTGTCCCATGAGAAAATCTTAATATTATCAGTACCAGGCTACCCAAGAAATTGGCTTCATAAGCTTACCGGTTGTGATGTGATGGAGAGCATCTTCGACTGTGGCACTTGAGGTAACACCAATGGCTGAGGTTCACAAGGCATACAAGGGCTTTCGGAATCAGATCTCGTTGTCAAAGCATTGCTCTCATCATCTTTGCAAAAGAACAAAGGCAAACACTGCTCATTTAAGAGTCACAGCAACATGACTTTTCAAACTGGTTCAAGTGTCATTTTCTCAAAGAACTTTTCAGAGAACTATCTTTTTTTTCTTTTTTTTAAAATTAATTTATTTTGATTTATCAACAATAACTTCCATATGCTTTTGAGTTTAAAATTTTCTCCCCCTTTCTCTCACCACCCTCCCCAAGACGGCACACAATCTGATACAGGCTACATATATACATTCCTATTAAATACATTTTCACATTAGTGATGTTGTAAGTAAAAATTAGAACCAATAGGAGGAACCACCAGAAAGAAGAAACAAAATTCAACAGAAGAGATAAAAACTAGCAAGTAGTATGTTTCAATCTGCAGAGAACTATCTTTTCTCAGTTAGACTAGGTCTTCAAAGTCGGAGAGAAAACCTTAGCAGATATGGTTTTGCTGTAAGTAGCAAATAAACCCTTTAAATGATTTCTCCTCAAATGCATGTTGGTTAAGTAGGATACAAGAAATCAAACTTGAGTTTGACATGAAATTTTCTTTCTCAGGAAAAGACAGGAAAAACATTTTCATCTCTGCAGTTAAAAGACTCATACGGAAATGTTTAAGGCGGAGTGGTTCTACCGTATATTTTGGCCCACCTTAAAAATTCCTAATCATGAGTTCCTGACCTTGGGAAAAACTTGTATACTTTTTTCATATAAGATGACCAGCGTCATTTTACATAATGAAAGTGTGCTAACCTTCATATTAAAAAGACAGCATATCTAAATGCTATGATCACACTGCTGACCTGCAACAGTGGGGCATCAATTCTTTTAGACTCGCATGATCAATGACATTTATCTGCAGTAGAATGTAAGCTCTTGGAGGGCATAGCTTACCAGAATGCCTTGTACACAGGCATTTCATAAAATACTTGATGGACTTAATTGTAAAACAGCTGCCTGGGAAAAGAGTGGAATCTTCGGTCCTTGAACAGAGAATGGCTAGCTGATCCCCATGGAAATCAGAAGCGTCAATGTTTCAAGTATTTATTGAGCTCTATCTATTGGCCATATCACATTTGTACTCTAAATAAACTGGTTTATATCTGTGATAGTAGGATCAACAAAAAGCAATTTTAAAAGTTGATGATCTCTCTCTCAGAGATTCAACTGTCCCTAGTTACTAAAACCTTATGAAGAAAAGTCAAGTGCAAGTCTTCCAGTATAGCTGGATTTATTATCTTGGAACATTTCAATTGCTCTCATTAAACAACTAAGACAAAAAGAAATGCTCTTCTGGCTCTACTTCAATCTCAAAATGTTAGGGTTCCCTATTTTTGAAGACCTGAGGTCTCATAGTGATAGATAGCAGGGGAATAATCCTGTCCTATTTTCTCTGTCCTTCCTTTCGCTATCAAAATTCTCAAATGAATACTCTCTCTTTCCACACCATCCTATTCCTCAATTCCAGGTAATGTAGCTTCTAACCCTACAAATCCTCCTGAAACTGAAGGTCACTAATGACTCCCTATATGCCAAACAGAATGATCTTTCCTCATCGCTGGACTCACAGAACTTCAGAGCTAGGAGGGACTTAACAACCAACACTGCTGAGGTCCACTGTCACGTCTTTCTTATTTATTTTGTACAGATCCCTCTGCACATGTTGCTCCTTGCCCTATCCCCACCCTCACCCCCACACCCAACAGAACACAAGCTTCTTCAGAGCAGGAACAGCTTTGTCTGTGCATCTTTAGCACCTAACCAAGCATCTGGTGCAGAGGATGGCAACTGGGATGAGACCCAGTATTACAAAAAGTTCTGACCTAGAGACCCCTGAGAGAGTCTTTGAGAAGCAATGGCGTAGAGAGCCCTTAGATGAGGAAACTCACTTTCTTTGGAACTGACAACTCTAAAGGGCTGACTGAAGCACTGAGATGAAATAACTTACCAGGGCCACACAGCCAGGAGGTGTTGGAGGTGGGACTTGAACCCAGGTCTTTCCAGTCTCAAGGCTGACTCTCGACATACACTATACCCACTGGCACACAGTGGGCAGTTAATAAGCACTCACTGAATTGAATTTATGACTTACAGAAAAAGAAAAGCAGCAAGATACCATTTGATATCAATAAATTAGGAAGAGTGAGACAAAGTCTGTTGCTTTTTAAAAACTGTGTTTGAAGATGTTATCAAAAGGTGAAGCTAATATAAGGACCATTACAACAGGGGCCAAATTCAGATATACTATAAAGAACAAAACTACAAACAACAGAGAGAAGGTCAAACAAGATCTTGTGAAAGAGAACAAGCCTTATGACACAGCCTGGCCTGAAGGCTGGCATTGATTCTCATTCTGCACATGAGTAACAGAAAAAGACTGTACTCAATATGAACACTACCGGCCAGGCCCCAAACTAGGCCTTGAAAAGCAAACAGGGCGGGGGACCCATCGCTTCTCCTGCTGACGCTCAGTCTGAGGAGGAAGAAGCTTTTTCTTAAACGCTGTTTCCACACAGATCCCTACCTGAAGCTGATCCCTCCCAGTGCCTCCGAATCAGCTCCTCCATGCAGTCCAGCATCTTGCTCCACACGTCGTCAAACACGTAGGCAAGAACATCCTCCTTCATGCAATGAAATGGAGCAATGGGAGGATACCCTAATTTTTTTCTCTCACAAGACAGGCCTAATTTTCCTCCACGTAACCCATCTTCCCTAAGACAGAAGGAAAGAAAGGGAAGGTTGTTATTTGTGGAACATTTAATTTAGCATTGTTGGTTGGATTGGGGACATAGTTTAGTCTTACCACAAACTCCCATTTTATAAGCTACATGTGGGAAGCTGTCTTTTGAACAAAAACAGCTCTGCACAAAATGAAGATACTGCATTTTCATTACAAATACCCTTGCAAGTACTGTGTGAAGTACCCTGGATATTTTTAAAGTTCCGAGTTGATGAGTGATCATGCTAGATGAACAATGAGAAGGCTAAACACACCTGAATAGTATTTAGTATTGTTACAAATTACAACTGATGACAATGTTAATCTGATACTTATTTAATGGTGAGTGATTCTTATGATGTATGCTTTAATTTTAATAAAACCTTCTAGAATTCTATTTGCTGGGTGCTGGAGGGACAAAGATAAAAAGGAGACGGGACAGTTCTGGCCTCTAGGAGTTTACATTCTACTTGGGGGGAGGGGACACAGAGATAGATAATACAAGACTGGGAGCAAGAGGGATAAAGGAGAGACAGATCACAATAAAGCACGAACAGTAAACAGTTCCATAAGTGAATGTCATCAACGTAACTTTTACTCACTCAAACCAAGGCAAGAATTTCTAAGGCCAGCGATGGGAAGAATGAAGAAATGAAGAATGAAGAAAATGCTCTGAGGCCCTTCTAAAGCTCCCTTGGCTCTGCAGGCCAAACACTAGCGGGGCACACTGGAAAGAGCGCTGGGTCTCTAGTCAGGAAGACTTGAGTTCAAATCCAGCCTCAGACACTTACTAGCTATGTGGGCAAGTCACTTAACCCTGTTTGCCTCAGTTTCCTCATCTGTAAAATGAGCTGGAAAAGGAAATGGCAAACCACTCCAGTATCTTTACCAAGAAAGCTCCGAATGGGGTCACAAAGAGTTGGACCCAAGTGAAACAACTGAACAACAACAAGTTCTTCCTTAATTTCCAACATGGAATATCCAAAGCCAAGGTGTTCAAGGAGCATACACACATACCTTCCTGGGTGACAAAAACTAGGAAAGGTAGAATACTAATGTTTTGGATACACCTGGTTTATACAAACAAATCTCCCACCCTGACAGTAACAACTGGCATATTTTCATTGTGTTTCAGATCCAATGGACCTCCTGGGTCTCGAGCGACACACACAAAACTATCAGAAGGGGAAGAATAAGAGCAAGAACCAATGAGTAGAAGTAAAATTTAGGCTGAGTACTATGATTTAAGGAAAGCCCATCTTTCAGCTCAACAAATAAATAAAATATCTCCTCTGCATTCTACATCCTATCAATTAGAAATCCAGTTGCTATTAAAAAGCAAAAACCTGGAGAAATACACGAAAGAGTGGGGGAAACATTAGTTATGACTCATATCTTAGTACAAATCAGTTTTGTTTCCTAATATCCAGTGAAATAAACAGAGCATAAGAGAAGGTGAGAAGAGCAAGGAGCAGAAAAGGAATCCTACCCTCTTTTTCTTGAGGAAAGGAGAGCCTGGTTGTAGTGGATCTGTGGGGAGCTTTGGTCAGCCAGCCTGTGACATACCAGTACTGCATTTCTGGCAGGGATGAAGGAGACAGGGAACTAAGAGAATGACAGGGGCTTGAAGCGGGTGAAAGATAAAACTTTGCTCGTGAAAAGGAAAATTTAGGTTTAATCTATGGAAAAACTTCCTGTTATTAGAGATAGCCCAAAGTGAAATGTATTGCCTGGGAAGGTAACTTTCATTGGAAGATCCAGAATACTCAGGTAGGATAGAGAGAGGATTCTTGTTCAGGTATGGGCTCAACTAGATGGCCTTGAGGGCTGCTTCCAACCCTGAATCAGGAGTTCTGGGTAGGGGTGCAAATGTGTAGAGAATACACAAGTAAATACAGTCCAGGATGGGTAATGAGAATTAGTACAATAGAGAAAATGTCAATACTAGCTTTGGAAGCTAAAGAAACAATGGCATATAAAAAACCCCATGAAATTGAGGTATATCTACTTCACACCAGTAACTAAGTTTAGATGACAAATCATATACAAACCACAACATCTTGTTGAAAAGAGAGAGGTAAATAGCTTAAAAGTCAAAATACCCACTTGTCTGTAGTGTCGAATGCTAGATATTCTTCTATGATTCCTTCTGAGACAATCACACCCTCTTCTCCATCTTCTCTTTCCACAGAACATAAGCTCGGAGATTTGGAGACAGAAGCATCTTTATGGACATGAGAAAGTGAAAACGGTAACTTCTTACCTCTTATACCAAACCTGGGGGAGAAAGGAAAGGCAAATATAAATCACTGTGCAGTCTTCAACCAGAATACTGTCTTATAATATAATATTGTCATGGGACCCAGGGAAACCCTCAAACACTGACTCATGATCTCTTCTCTCCTTCCTCTGAGTTACTATTATATTTATTATTCATACCCTTCATTTGACATTTATGATAACTTATGTTGTTTTAATGTCTTTTTTCAAATTAATTTTAAACATAAGGATTTCAGCTACTTTATATAAAAATAATTTAAAACTATTTCTATCACTCAAATTTTTTTAATCCTTGTTAGTGATTTACATGAGGCAGCTAGGTGACACTGGGGATACAGTGCTGGGCCTGAAATCAGGAAGACTCATCTATCTGAATTTAAATCTGGCCTCCAACACTTACTAGTTGTGGGACCTTGGACAAGTCAATTAGCCCTGTTCGCCTCAGTTCCTCATCTATAGAATGAGCTGGAGAAGGAAATGACAAACCACTCCAGTATCTCTGCCAAGAAAACCCCCAAAATGGGGTCAAAAAGAATTGGACACAACTGAAACTCAACAAAAACAAAAAGTGATTTATTTACGTAGTTACAGTGTGTGTGTGTGTGTGTGTGTGTGTATAAGCTATTCATGCTCCGTTTTTTTCACTTAACATTTACACATACAATGATATAGCTCATATACCTATTTTCTTTTAATTATAAACTTAATCAACAAACAATATTCAAATACAAAAAGACTGTATATGAAACCACAGATTTCCATTATTTTGTTTGTTTTAAAATTTTGTTTGTTTGTATTAATTTTTACCAAGCAGTAATAAAACAATTATTTCATTGTTCCTTGTAATTTTTTTCTTTTTTTCTTGGTTTTGTTGCTGTTACTATTATTATTTACAAAATTCTGATTTTGTGTTATACTGTTGTCATCATTCTACTTTGCATCACATGATGTAAATCTTCCCATTTTTTTTTTATTCTGCATACTTGTCATTTCTTATGGCACAATAATGTTCCACTGCATTCAAATGTGTCTTCAGCCATTCCCCAACTGTTGGATACAAGTTGTTTCTAGCTTTTTGTACAATGCTGTTGGGAATATTTTTGTACAAATATTTTTCCCTTGTCAAATAATATCCTTACATCAAAGTCCTAGAAATGGAATCACTGGGGTAAGGAAAGATGAATAGTTTGCAGCTATTACTGCATAAATTATATGTTGCTTTCCAAAAAGATTACATCAATCATAGCTCTACCACCAGGTTTAGTGTAGCTGTTTTTTCAAGTCAGATTAGCATTGATTTATCATTATTAACCATCTTTGCTAATTTGATGGATGTGAGGTAGTATCTGAGTAGTTTTAATTTGTATTTCCCATTAGACCGGTTAGAATTTTTTAAAGATGTGGTTATTATCTGTATTTCTTCTTTTAATATATGTCTATTCACATATTTTGACCATATATCTCTTAGGGAATGACTCTTACTCTTATAAATTTGTATAACTGCCATATAGAGTTTTGGCTGTTAACCTTTTACCAGAAATGTTTGTCAAAATGATCTTTTCTCAAATCTTCTACTGGGCTTTTTCATAAAACCAGTTCCCTGTTTTATTTATTAGTTCAATTTTTTTTTGTTTTACTTTCAATTTTATTAATCTCTCCTCTGATTTTTCAGGACTTCTGTTTTGGTACTTAATTGGAGACTTAATTTTTTTTCTTTTTCTAGTTTTTTTAGTTTCATGACCAGTTCATTGATCTGCTCTTTCTTTTACTGATACAAGCATTTAAAGATATAAAATTTTCCCTAAGTACTGCTTTGACCACATCCGAGAAGGTTTATTATGTTGTCATATCTTCAATGAAATTATTGTTTTTATGGTTTGTTCTTTGAAGGGGTCAGATACGTAGGAGGAAAATCAGGAGGCAGCAGTATTCCCAAAACCTAAACAGAAGAGCACATCAAGGAGAAGGAGTGATCTCCTGTGTCAAAGGGGATTGAGAAAAACTACTGGATTTGGGGGGCACTGCAGAGAAGCAGATTTAGCCTAAATATAAGGAAACCATCCCTTATATAATTAATGTCCCTTCACTAAACATCTCCAAGCAAAGGCACAATGACCCTGTCCGAGAGGGTGTGGAAGATAATTATTCCTGCTCTAGTATGTAGTTTGGAGAAAGCTCCGAGGTCCTTCCCAATTCTGCTAATCTGTGGCTTTTGTGATTTCTCTACAATTTTATAACTCTTACTTTATTTCTACAAAGTTTATTTTATAATTGTTTTTATATAATGTGATTATTTTGTCATTAAGAACTAATTATTATTTCTTTCAATTTCTCTTTTGTTGTTGTTAGTGAAATGGAAATATAATTTCATGGATTTGTTTTATGTCCTATTTACTAAAGCTTCAATTTTAACTAATTTTGTTGAGGTTCTTGAATTATCTCAATAAAATATATCATCTGTACATATAATTATTTAAACCTCTTTTTTGTCCATATTTATTCCTTTAATTTCCTTTTCTTGCCTTGTGATAGCTACTATTTCTAAAACTATCCAACATTATATTGAGAAAGTGTTATTTACATATTCATTATTTTTAATTGCTATATTATATTCTACCATTGGTATTATATACCATTTCTGGGATGTTATTAGGCATTTGAATTCTTTCTGGTATTTAATACTAGATTTAATAATATTATAAACGGTATTGCTATGACCAGTTTTATAGATTATTTCCTTAGGATATATTCTCCAAAATGAAATTATTATGTTTTAGCTAAACTTCTAATCTCCCCAGCACAGCACTCTCCATATACAAGTCATTAAGTAAAAGTTTGCTGATTAATCCCCAGGTCAAAGTGATATGAACATACAGCTCAATTGTCACCTAAAGCTCTTTGCAGCTGGCTCTTTTCCACCCTCCTGGTCTTTTTACACCTAGCCCCCCTCCATGCATGCCAGACTCCAGCCATGTGGTCCTACTTCCTCCATCTTAGGGAGTGTTTTTGGCACAGGCTGTCCTCCATGCCGAGAACGCTCTCCTTAACCTCCTCCTCATCAAACTTCATTTCTTTCTGCACAAGGCCTTTCCCAGTTCCCTGCTTCAGCATTTTGTCTTCTAAGGTTACCTTGTAGCTGCTCCATGTATCTTATATATAATTACACACACAATAACTTGTTGAAGGGAAGTCATTAAGGCTACATTTTGCTCTTCCAAGTCAGATGTCTTTTTTTTGCAAGAAACAAACACAAACTATGAGGATTTTTATTCTCTATACCATTTTGGTCTGGTTCTCTCCCACATGATTACTACTGTAATTCCCTTTCTCATCACATCTCACATGGACTATCACAATAACCTTCTAATTGGTCTCCCTGACTCCCCCCACCCCCAAATCCATTGTTCACACAGCAGCCAGAGTACTTTTCCTAAAGTGCAGCTCTGGACAAGTAACTCCCCTGCTTGATAAACTCCAATGGCTATTTATTGCCTTTAGGATTAAATATAAACTTCTCTAGGGCCACTTAGGTGGTGCCATAGTGCACAGAACACCAGGCCTGAAGACATCTTCCTAAGTTCAAATCTGGCCTCAGATACCAACTAGTTGTATGACCCTGTTTACCTCAGTTTCCTCATCTGTAAAATGGCCTGGAGAAGGAAATGGCAAACCACTCCAGTATCTTTGCCAAGAAAACCCCAAATAGGGTCATGAAGAGTTGGACACCACTGAAAATGACTGAACAACAAAAAATAAACATGTCTATTTGGCTTTCTAAGCCCTTCACAGCTCGTCCCCAACATACTTTTCAATCTCATTACTCTGTCTTGAATTCTAGTTGTTCTCTGCACAGAACACTCCATCTCCCCCCACTCTGTGTGTCACCACTAGCTGTCTCCTATTCCTAGAATACACTGCCTCCTCGGCTCTGCCTTAGAATCTGTAGCCTTCAAAATTCTGCTCAAGAACCACCTTCTCCATGAAGCCTTTCCCACTTCCCTTAGCTGCCAGTGCAAGCCTAGCTCCTTGACTAGCTTGTGCTCATTTCTCCTGTATTTATGTCCATGTTCTCTCTCCTGGCGGAATGTAAGTTCCTTGAAGGCAGGGATTGTTTCCATTCTGTTTTTATATCCTCAGTACCTGGCACAATTCCTGACACATGGTAGGTGCTTACTAAGTGCTTACTGACTGAGGATGTTTTGAGACGGCCAGACTCTGGGAACTAGACAAAAAGACCTGTAAGATCTCTTCAGATTCTACAAACCTGTAAACCTATGAATGTGGTGGTTTCAGTGGCCCTGATGATGGAAACAGACTGCTAAAGAAATGCTAGGAAATCTTTTTCTTTTTATGTTTATTTGTCATCCTCTTTTCAGTTACATTTTTAATGCTCTCAGGATGATCTGGCTTAGCTGAGTCTCACACAAAGATTTTTTTTTCAGCAAGTTGATTTCCATCTTCAATGTTTTAAATTGTTTTGTTTTGTTTTGTTTTTTGGCCAGGCAATGGGGTTAAGTGACTTGCCCAGGGTCACACAGCTAGTAAGTGTTATGTGTCTGAGGCTGGATTTGAACTCAGGTCCTCCTGAATCCAGGGCCAGTGCTCTATCCACTGCGCCACCTAGCTGCCCCATCCAATATTTTAAATTGTTTTATGGATGCTACACTAGTTATAATGTTTTATCACCCTTCCCTATAATATTTTGTCTGTGACTTTATATTCTTCACTGGTACTGGGTTTGGATTTCACAGGTTCTGCCCAGCAAGGAGATTGAGTGCTTGCTGGAAAAGCTTCTGAGCTCTTGTGGTGGGGGCGACTTTTGTCAATCAGTTAAACTTCTCTTAAGAAAAAATAGGGGGCAGCTAGGTGGCACAGTGGATAGAGCACCGGCCCTAAAGTCAGGAGGACCTGAGTTCAAATCCGGCCTCAGACCAAACACTTGACACTTACTAGCTGTGTGACCCTGGGCAAGTCACTTAACCCCAATTGCCTTAAAAAAAAAAAAAAAAGAAAGAAAAGAAAAAATGGTTGAAGGGACAGCTAGGTGGTGCAGTGGATACAGCTCCAGCCTTAGAGTCAGGAGGACCTGAGTTCAGATCTGGCCTCAGACACTTGACACTTACTAGCTGTGTGATCCTGTGCAAGTCACTTAACCCTGACTGCCTCACCAAAAAGAAAAAAAAAATTGGTGATAATGAGAATCGATGTTTTGACTTTCCTCTATTTTGTCAATAGCTTATTTAAGTAGATCGGATTAGAACTGTGCAAGAAGTGCATTCTCATCTTTATCATTTAATTTGCTGTCAATTTTAACTTGCTCTATTTGTTAACCTGATTACACAGAGATGGCTGATTTTAAAATGATTCCCACACTGGTTAGTTGTCATTTCCTGTCCAAATATAGTCATTACAGCTGTTGGGTGATCTTCCCTATATTTAACACTTTTGGGACACTTCTTGAAGAAAATATGAATGCAGTACATATCTCACACTTCTGAGCAGCCTAGAAGCAGCTGACCTCTATCATTTCTTGATCCTGAAACCTATTTTCTAACATATTCTTTGCTATCCTCACCTTCATCTGTTTTCACACTGAAGTGACTAGACCTTTTTGAAGAACCACTGGAGGATTTGAAAGGAAAGTTATTAGCTGAAAGGGCAGCTGATTGCTATGATTTGTGTAGCCAGGTTTCAAGAAGAGCCATGGGTGAATTTTATACTCATCTCTGTTGGCCCAGTCAGACTTTTCCAAAACAGGGGCCTGTGAAAGCAAGCTATGTAATAGATCCATTAAGAAAGAGAATCTGATGCTACCTAGCTAAGTAAACTAAGTCAGCTAAGCATTTAAAACCAAACCTTTCACAACCTGATTCCAACCTACCCTTCCAGATTTAGTAAACACTATTCACTGTCACTTCTCTTCAGTCCAGCCAAACTGACCTTTGTGCTGTTCCTCAACACGTTCTACCTCATCTTAAAATCCCCAGCTTCCTTCAAAGCTCAGTTCAAATGCCACCTCCTAAAGGCTTTCCTGCCCACTTGAGCTTCACTCTCTAAATTACTTCATAGTATATGTTGTACATTGAGAGATATTTACAAAATGCTTCACAAGCTTTAAATGCTACAGAAACTCTACCTATTATATTTATATGTCCATGTCTCCCCTGATACAGCGTATGGTCCCTGAAGGAAAGGATGGTTTAGTTTTTGTATTTGCATTTCCAGTGCTGACCCCAGGGCGAGGAGCGTATTGCTTGCTTAATAAATGCAGGTTGATCGATTGACTGCTAGCGAATGGGTATGTTGTCAAACAGGGAAGGAGACAAAAGCAGTTTTGGAAAATCTTCAATGATTACACGTTACTGCTTAACTGGTTTGTCTGCTGTTTCCTGTGTACTACAGTCCATCTTGGGCCTCCCCTGTGCACCATGCCACCCCGCCCCTTCTGCACGCTTTGGAATTACTAGTCCCCTTTAAGGCTCAGTGAAAGTACCACATCCTACAAAGAGTCTTGCCTGACTCCAGGTGTACTTTCTCGCTATCTCTGTTTCACCAATTATTTAATATTTAGTCACCTGGATATAGGTGAGTAAATACATATTACTCACATGCATATATTTCCCTAAGTGGGATGTAATGCCTTGAGGGCGGGGACTACTTTGTTTTGGGGGCTTATTGTCAGCACTGAGCACAGTGCCTGGCACATGGTAAATGCTTGGTGAATTGGGATGATCAGAATGTAGTAAAGTATAAGGGACAAAAGATAGCCAGCGTGAGCAATGACATCAAAGAGACAGTAAAAGACTTTGAAGAAATCTTCCAGGGCACTGAGTAGGTTGTCTTGGAGGATTTGCAAAAGCGTAAGAAAAGAATCACACAGAATGACAAGGTGCAGTTGGGCTGGAGAAAGAATAGTCACATCAATGAGACCCAGCAAAATATTGAAACAAATTAAAAACTTTCTTAAAAAAACTACATCAATTTATGGTGTTACTAAAAATTAATATGTACGTGTTCCTCCATATCCCTAAGAATAATGGATTTTATGATTTTTGTTTACTTTTGCAAGTTTGACTGGCATACCTTAAATTTTTAATCATCATTCAAATACTAGTAATTACATCAAATATGGATTAAATCCCCAAATCCCTAAAATTTAACTATTTACATGTTCAAAAATGTGATCACAACCCATATACTTCTACTAAAGTCCTATGATGATGCCTCATCGTGGCATAGGAGTGACCCTGGATCCTTGAAGGCTATGGAAGTGGAACATAATGTTTGGCAGGCCTTACAAAAGTCTGGTGACAGCCTGTGTATCTGCCATCGAAGGACCACCAAGACTGGTGAGGCTCATCACTCTGCTGGCTACAGGATGATGAACTTTGTAACCACAGTAACTTTGAAAGACCATCTACTAACTTATCAGAGGGGATGGTATGTGCACAGGCAAAGGAAATGCCCATGGAGGAAATTACTGAGCTTTGAAGTAGTGTGTGTTAACCTTGCTTTGCCTCATTTCTCATTAGTCCATCCTTCTATATTCAGTGGTCTTTATACCTGTTATTTTTGCAGCACCGTAATATCTTAACATTAAAAAGCAAGGATATGGAAAACAACTGCACAGGACAGCAAGGCACTGATAAGAATTATCATCTGCAGTGGCAGAAGAAATGTCCACATTGATGATACAATGGATCTGTCAAAACAAATTTATTCAATCATTCCCCACCCACTGGACATAGAGTTTGTTTTCAGTTTATCACAATTATGTATAAAGCAGCTATGAATATTTTTGTACAAACGTGACCTTTTTTCTTGCTAATAATAGCTTTAGGATACAGTATGTGCAACTGAATTGGTGGATCAAAGGATATGATTAGATTAGGGGTTCTCATTATATATTACTATGTTGCTCCATTTGCCCCATTCTACAGTTCCAATGACAACGTTAAAAATTACCGGTTTTCTCAATGTTGTTAGCACTGAATGGTATCATTTTTTTGCTGTTTTTGTCAATTTCATCACCTGGGATAGAAGAAGTTAAGTGATTTGCCCCAGAATCACACAGTCAGAATGTCAGATATGGCTCGTGAGCCCAGAGCTTCCTGATCTGATTTGTATGCCATGGTAGGCAATGCTCTAAGAATGCAGGTTGCAAAGCAGGTGCTGACTCACCCCTATCCAGAAGAAATCACAGATTTTGTGCAAAAAGAAATCTCTTTTTTTGCTGCCTCTTTACCTAAGCACCCTCTGCCATCACATTTATAGCTACCAAAATGTAGTTCCTCATTTCCTTATGCCTGGATGTTTATAATATTTAATAGATTGAGGCTACTTTTGACCAGCGGATACTTCAGCCAGAAAATTCCTTAAAATTAAGGTGTAAGATTCTTTACAACATATTAATGCTTTCTTTGAAAGAATCCAAAAACCCAATTTAACATAATTGTTGTTATGTAAACACCAATCTCTGCATAACAAAAATGGCTTTTTTTATAGATGATGCTAGGTCACACACACAGTCTTTCATAGAAAAATTCTAGTACAACTAAACAATTTGGACAATGCCATGAGGTTCACTGTAATGAGACTTAGAGACTTAACCTTTGCTCCTCAATAACAGATGATAGGGAGAAGTACCTTCCTGCTTCAGCACAAGGAGAAAGCTCTACTACTTACACAGTGGACTCTCTTTCTTGGTTCAATGTTGTTTCATGTGAGGCTGAAGTAACTGATGGAGACCTAGGATACAATCCATAACCTTCACAAGGAGGGACTATCTGCTTTCCCAGAATCCTTCAAATTAAAGAAACAGATGAAGTAGTTCACTCAAGGTCACAAATCAGTAATACCACCAAAGCATCAAAATGCAAGCATTTTTGTTAACATACTTTTCTGTTTTTCAGATCAAATGTCTATTAGATTCTGCTCCTTCCCCTTAATACCTGAGGTGAGGAAAGGTGGACATCCACTGTTGGCACTCTTCTTGCAGACCCTTGGTAAGGTTGTTTGACTTTTGTTCATATAAAAGCTCATCAATGACTGTGAACATCAACTGAACTTTTTCAGTGGCATTTTGGTCAAATTCCTAAAAATAAATATTCAGGAAAAATCATTTCCAGATAGGTTTGAGATCCATTAAAGTAATAAAAAAATCTTTTAAAATCACTTAAATATTTGTTCAATCTGAAAAATTATCAAGTTTCCACAGGAAATAAATTAAATTATTGGAAGGTTTCAGCATATACATAAATTACTCAAATGCCTTCTATTGTTGTAAATATAATTTATACTGAAGCCTTCCTTAATTTCACTGAGTGAAGAATTACACCAGAATGTGAAAAAAAACAAAACAAAACACCCAAGACTTATTCACATTTCAAATTTTAGCCCTCAAATGGAAATAAGCACAAGGGAAAAAACATTAATTCTATCTACTCCTCTGCCACATATATAGAAAAATTTTGTTGTTCAGACATTTTCAGTCATGTTCAATTCTTTGTGACCCCATTTGAGGTTTTCTTGGCAAAGACAGTGGAATGATTTGCTATTTCCTTCTGCAGGTCATTTTACAGATAAGGAAACTGAGGCAAACAGGGTGAAGTGACTTGCCTAGGGTCACATAGTTAGTACATGTCTGCATCACCTAGCTTCCCATACAGAAAACTACAACTCTTCAAATCGAAATTTTATTAAACTTTATGCACTATACTAGAGGAAGATAAAATATACCAGAGGAAGATAAAAGAAAGAATATAATCTCTGCTCAGGGTGAATGGGATGATTTACTGAATGATGGAGAGAGGCATAACTATTCAAATTTTACTTTACTGTTATTTTCTTTGCCATAGAGAATGATCTTTGGAAAGTATAAGAATAAAAATGGTTAACAGGGAGATGAAACCCAAGATAAGCGAAAAAATAATAATTGATCAACTATTTGGCCTCGATGCATTCAAATGACCAATTCTGAATAAACAACATCCCAGGGTATTAAAAGAGCAGCTGGAGGTGACTGCTGAGTTACTGTTCATTAAATCTGATGAATCATGAAGAGTTGGAGGGTTGTTGCAGGACCAGAAAAGGGCAAAAAGGCAGAAAAGGGAAGGGGGCACAGTCTGAAACTTCCAAGTCCATTAGTCTGGCTTTGGTTCCTGGCAAAATTCCACAACGCATTGTTAAAGATGTTGTTTGTTAGCATCTAGAAAAAGATGATCACTAAGAGCCAACATGACTTCATTAAGAATAGGTAATGCCAGAACAGCCTAATTTCCTTCTTGATAAAGTTATTAATTAGTAGATAAAGGGAATATTGCATAACTGCTATAACTGGCAGGTAGCATTTGACGAAGTTTCTCTTATTATCCTTCTTGACAAAATGGAGTTAGGGGCTAGATAATGTTATAGTTACCTAGATCTACACCTTAAATAAAGTCATGAATAGATTACTATCTCCAGTGGAGTGAACCAGGGATCTCACCTTGGTTCTGAGTTAGTTAATACTTTTATCAATGACATGGATAAAGGTATATAGATGGCATGCTTATCAAATTTACAGATAACACAAAGCTGGTCACATAAATAACATGTTAGATGAGATTCAGGATGCAAAAGTACTGAGATGGGCCAAACAATAGGCTAAATCTAATAACACATTTTAAAAAGATAAATATTGATATGATCTGATACTTGGGTTCAAAAAAATCAACATTACAAGGATAAGATGGGGAAAGTAGGGTTAGACAGCAATTTGTTTGAAAAAGGTCCAGAGGTTTAGTGTTCCTCTTATTCAATGAGATTAAAAAAAAGAAACATGGTAGTAAAAAAAATTTACATAATCATAGGCTGCATTATGAGAGGTATGGCATTCAAAATGAGAGAGGTGAGGGTCCCACTGTTTTATGACCCAGTCAGCCTACATCTTATGATATTCAGTTCTGGGCATAGCATTTAACATGCTGGAACACATTCAGAAGTAGGCAACCAAGAGGGGACTAGAGACTACACTTGTAAAAGAAGCAGTTGAAGGACCAGGGATAGTTGGCCTGAAAAGAAGAGTTAAGGCAGAATATTCCTTAACTGTCCTCAAGTACTTTAAGGGCTACATGTAGAAAATGGATTAGACTTATTCTGCTTGGTTCCAGGGAGCAGGATTAGGAGTAATGGATAGAAGTTACATTGAACCTAATTCTGCCTCTCCACAAGGGTAAGCTTTGTAAAAATTGGCGCTATCTAAAAGTGAAATGGGTTGTCTTAGAAGCTGAATCCTTCTCTTCCCTGAAGGTCTTCAAGTAGAATTTGAATGGTCAGATGGTAAAGGTGTAATAGAGGAAATTCCTGATCAGATATAGATTGGACTATTTAAGTCACTTCCAAATCTAATATTCTGTCAAAATGGTAGGGTTTAGTAGGGTTTAAATTTCTGTCAGGGCACTCTTACCATTCAACACAAAGTCATTCATCTATTACTCAGCCAGAAGAATGAAACCCATCAGACTTAATTTGCCTTGATGAATAGAAGAAAACTGAACAAAGCAATAATGGCCACAGGAAGAAGAATCCATAGTCATAGATTTTCTACTAATTTGCAGGCCACAATGTGAGTACTATGGGGAGTACTACATGGGCATTATAACATGGAATAGACAATGATAAACAAGAAAACATCCAAAGGAGGACAAAAAAAGTAGTGAAGGGCCTTGAATACATATAATTTGAGGATTATTGAAGGACTTGAGAGGTTTTAAACAGGATCAGGAAAAGAGGCAATGTAAGGGCACATGACAGCTGTCTTAAAAAATCTGAAGGGCTCGGGCAGTTAGGTGGTGCAGTGGATAGAGCACTGGCCCTGGAGTCAGGAGGACCTGAGTTCAAATCCGGCCTCAGACACTTGACACTTACCAGCTGTGTGACCCTGGACAAGTCACTTAACCCCGACTACCTCACCAAAAAAAACAAAAACAAAAACAAAACTGAAGGGCTGTCCTGTGGAAGAGAAGCTAGACTTGTTCTATTGCATCCCAAAGGGCAAAAGCAAGAGCAATGGGTAGAGGTTTCGAATACAGACTGGATGTAAGGAAAAACTGCCTAGCTATCACAATCCAACATGAAATAGGAAGTTGCGGGTTCCCCTTCACCAGAGGTCTTTCAGAAAAGGCTGGATGACCACTTATTGAGTATATTGTAGTGGGGATTCTGTAAGGGGTATGGCTTGGCCAAGATGGACACTAAAGTTCCTTCCAACTCTGAAATTCTATAATTCTGAAATGGGGACCCAACTGCTAAGCTCTGGTTTAAAACTCGATCTTGTTTTGGTCTCCCTGGCCACCCCACTCCGCTTCTAGTCTGTATAGTAAGTTTATAAGTAGCCAGTACAATAAGATAGCAAACTGTCCCAAAGACCAAAGGAACACAAATTACATATCTTATCATATAGCAACCAAAATTCACATCATGATAATATGTGTTGAATCAGGGGAAGCCATCGAGGTGCTGCTTGAGATCTCAAACTTCTGTTCCACCCCCGCCCCCCACCCCCCGGTGGTCCATCAGGGCCATGCTGTCCAGTGCTTCCACCTCAGATCCATGGTTACAAGAGTGACCTTCTGTCTCTCCTCCTCCCCTCCTTTCCCCACGCTGCCCACTTCCCTGTCCCCACACCATCTACCTTTGTACCCCTTTTACTGCTTGTCTGTGTACCCTCTGTGCCTTATTAAAGTATGACTGCAACCTCACTTCCTGCCCTCCTGCTGCCATCATGGGCTTTCCCAGTAAGTACCCAAAGAACTGGGAATACTTGACCCTATTTCGAAATTTCATAAATTATTAATTCACTGTGAATCTGCGATTCATCTTCCATATTTATAGAAGAGTAATGCTAACTTCCTTAACTGACAGTAGATGAAAACTAAGGGTACTATGTACTAAGCAGTATTACAAAATACTACTTTGTAAGCACAACCATATGATAATATATTTTAACATAGAAGAATATGAAGAAATGTGGGAGGAAGGCGGGTAAATTCTGACTTTCAGCATTAGGTCCTACCCTCCAAATTATTCTACCAGACCAATTATATGTAACTCACACCATATCCCCAGGAGAAGTCTGAGCTGCCTTCAGTAGAGATCCCTGTACCCGTGTAACTTGGAAAGGCAGACCTGGAATTGCCAGTGTCGGTCGATGTAAAAGGTGATTCTTGTGTGACGTCAGATTCGCTAAATCCACAATTTGAGAAGGAAAGGGGAAAAAAAGGGAAAAATTCTCAAACATCTTAATGCTTTTGCAAAATAAACTATTCAGAAATTTGGATACAAATATGCTCACAGATGTATAACAGGGAATTTCTAAATTCTACAATTTGCATAGTTATAGGGACTTTAGGGTGCCATGGCAACCAGCACACAATATAACTATAATGTAACAATAACACATATGTAAGTGGAACTTGAATTAATATAAATAATGTTATTATTTTAATTTTCAAATATTATAACTCTGCTGAAGCTTATCAACTCTAAATATTCTCACTTTTTTTTTTTAACATCTGACATAAAACAATTTTATCATGAGTAAATGAGAGCCTGAGGGAATAATACAACAATTTAAAATACATTCTGGATAATGAACAATGTTTCAGAAAAACTATTCAGTGGCCTCTCTCAGATCACAGTCTTCTGGGTAATATTACTTAAAATCTATTAACATTTGCAACGCATACACTGCTCACAACAACCAAGTAACAGTGAAATTTGATGGCACTAAAAACTGAGGCAAATACAAAAAAAAGTAGATTTAGAAACAAGGCTTATTGGAAATAACACTGGACCTATATGTACAGAAATATTTATAGCAGTTTTTTTGTGTTGATAAAGAATTGGAAGCTAAGGGTATGCTCATCAACTGGGGAATGGCAGAACAAGTTAGAGTCTATGAATGTGATAGAATACTATCATGCTATAAGAAATGATGAAAGGCATAGTTTTGGAGAAATCTGGGAAGACTTATATGAACTGAAGCAGTTAAGTGAGCAGAACCAGGAGAACAATTTACACAATAACAGTATTATAAAGATAACATCTTTAAAAGGCTTAGAAACCCTGATACATGCAATGGCCAATCATGATTCTAGAGCACACAAGATGAAATGTGCTACCCTCTTCTGGATGGAGAGGTGATGGATTCAGAATGAGATTGAGACATTTTGGGAGGACATAGCCGATGTGAGAATTTGTTTTTGTTCAATTATACATGCTTATAAAAGGAGTTTTGCTTTTCTTGCTTTCTCATTGGAGTGGAGGGAGAGGCCAATTTTCATTGGTTGAAAAAAACAAAATTTAATTAAAAAAATAAATTACTGAGAAAAAAAAGTACACTGAAGTTGGTGCCAAAAGATTCAAGTTCAAGTCTTAGTTTCATCTGTAAGATGGGTATAACAATACTTTCATTACTTGCTTCAGAACTAATGTAAAGATCAAACGACAGTAATTGAAGAAATTAGAACAGACAATGAGGAAACAAAACTATCACTCTTTGCAGATGACATGGTGGTATACTTAGAGAACCCTAGAGAATCAACTAAAAAACTAGATGAAATAATTAACAACTCCAGCAAAGTTTCAGGATATAAAATAAACTCATATAAATCATCAGCATTTCTATATATTACCAACAAAGTCCAGCAGCAAGAGATAGAGAAATTCCATTTAAAATAACTGCAGACAATATAAAATATTTGGATGTCTACCTGCCAAGAAAAATCCAGGAACACTTCACATAAATAAAGTCAGATCTATACAATTGTAGAAATATTAATTGCTCATGGGTAGGTTGAGTCAATATAATAAAAATGACAACTCTACCTATATTAATTTACCTATTCAGTACTATACCAATCAAATTACCAAAAAAATATTTTATAGAGCTAGGAAAAAATCATAACAAAATTCATTTGGAAGAACAGAAGGTTAAAACTATCAAGAGAATCAATGAAAAAAATGTAAAGAAAGGTGGCTTGGCATTACCAGATCTTCGGCTGTATTACAAAGTAGTAATCATCCAAACAATCTGGTACTGGCTAAGAAATAGAGTAGCGGATCAGTGGAATAGATTAAGTACACAATAAACAGTATATTAACATAATAATCTGGTGTCTGACAAACCCAGACATCTAAGATTTTGGGAAAAGAACTCACTAGTTGATAAAAATTGCTGGGAAAACTGGAAAGTAGTTTGGCAGAAACTAAGTATAGACTGACATCTTAAACTGCCTATCAAAATAAACTCAAAATGGGTATGTGATTTAGATATAAAGGGTGCTATCATAAACAAGTTAGAGGAGCAAGGAATAGTTCACCTGTCAAATTTATGGACAAGAGTAGAATTTATGATCAAATAAGAGATAGAGAGGATATCAAGATGTAAGATGAATAATTTTGATTACATCAAATTTAAAAGTTTTTGCACAAACAGAAACAATGCAGCCAAGATTAGAAGGAAAGAAGAAAACTGAGGGAAAAAATTTATAGCACGTTTCTCTGATAAAGGCCTCATTTCCCAAATATATAGAGAACTGAATCAAATTTCTAAAAATACAAATCATTCCCCAATTGATAAATGGTCAAACGAATATGAACAGGTGGTTTTCAGACAAAGAAATCAGTTATCTATAGTCACATGCAAAAACACTCTAAATCACTATTGATTAGAGATATGCAAATTAAAGCAACTCTGAGGTACCATCTCACACCTATCAGATTGGCTAATGTGACAAAAAAGGAAAATACTGGATGTTGAAAGGGATGTGGGAAAACTGAGACATTAATGTACTGTTGGTGGACTTGTGAACTGATCCAACCATTCTGGAGAGTAATTTGGAACTATGCCCAAAGGCTATAAAACTGTGCATCCCCTTTGATCCAGCAATACCATTGCTAGGTCTCTATCCCAAAGACATCCCAAAAAAAAAGGGGGAAAGAGGGGGCAGCTAGGTGGTGCAGTGGATAGAGCACTGGCCTTGGAGTCAGGAGGAACTGAGTTCAAATCCGGCCTCAGACACATAATACTTCCTAGCTGTGTGACTCTGGGCAAGTCACTTAACCCCATTGCCTAGCCAAAAAAAAGGGGGGGGGGGGGGAAGAGGACCTATTTGTACAAAAATATTCATAGCAGTTCTTTTTATGGTGACTAAGAATTAGAAATAGAAGGGATGTCCATCAATTGGGGAATGGCTAAACAAGCTGTGGTATATGACTGTAATGGAATATTATTGTGCTATAAGAAATGACAAGCAGGATGATTTCAGAAAGACTTGGAAAGACTTACATGAACTGATGCATAGTGAGGTGAACAGAATCAGGAAATGTTGTACACAGTAACAATACTGCGTGATGAAGAACTATGAATAACTTTTATTCTCAGCAACAGAATGAGCCAAGGCAACCCCAAAGGACTAATGATGAAGCATACTATCCACTTCCAGAGAATGAACTGATATTGATTTAATACACACTAAAGCACGCTATTTTTCACTCATTTTTTTCTTTTATTTGAGTCTTCTTGTTCAAAATGACTAATATGGAAATGTTTTACATAATTGCAAATGTATAACCTATATCTAATTGTTTACCATCTCAGGGAGGGGGGACAGAATTTGGAACTCAAAACTTTAAAAATACTAAAAAAAACTGAAAAAAGAATATGAGACTCTCCAGTTGATAAGTGGTCAAAGGATATGAATAGGCAGTTTTCAGAGGAAGAAATCAAAGCTATCTATAGTCATATGAAAAAACACTCTAAATTACTATTGAATAGAAAAATGCAAATTCAAATAATTCTGAGGTACCATCTCACATCTATCAGATTGGCTAATATGACAGAAAAGAAAAATGACAAACGTTGGAGAGGATGTGGGAAAATTGGCACACTAATACACTATTGGTAGGGTTGTGAACCAACCTAACCATTCTGGAAAATAATTTGGAACTATGCCCAAAAGGCTATGAAACTGTGCATACCCTTTGATCCAGCAATACCACTAATAGGTCTATATTCCAAAGAGAGTTTAAAAGAGGGAAAAGGACTTACACGTACCAAAACATTTATAGCAGCTTTTTTTTTAATGGTGGCAAAGAACTGGAAAGTGAGGGAGTGTCAATCAATTGGGAAATGGCTGAACAAGTTGTGGCACGTGATTATGATGGATTATTCTGCTATAAGAAATGATGCACAGGATGGTTTCAGAAAAACCTTGGAAGACTTACATGAACTGATGCAAAGCGAAACCAGCAGAACCAAGAGAAAATTGTACAAAGTAATAGAAATATTGTACGATGATCAGCTGTGAATGACTTAGCTATCTCAGCAATAGAGTTAACCAAGACAATTTCCAAAGACTTATGATGAAAAATGATGTCCACCTCCAGAGAAAGAAATGAGTCTGAATGTAGATTAAAGCATACTTTTTCAACTTTATTATTTTTTCGTGTGTATATGCATTTTCTTTTGCAACATGGCTAACATGGAAATATTTTGCATGACTACACATGCAGAATCTATATCAAACTGCTTGACTTCTCAACGAGAGGAGTAAGGAGGGAGAGAGGGAGAGAATTTGGAATTCAAAAGTTTAAAAAATAAATGTTAAAAATATTTGTTTACATGTAACTGAAAAGAGAAAATGAAAAGTAAATGTAAAAAAAAGGAAAGGTCACACCCTTATGTATGCGGACTTTAAAAAAGTGAACACAAGTTAATTATAATAAGCAATATAATAATAAACAATACAATAAAATGTATATTTTTGTAAAAAAAAGATTAAATGAGATGTCATAATGCTTTTATACAAAGCACTCTGCAACTATAAAGTATTATGTAAACTGTATATATGTAATTTATTATGTTGCTAACTTCTAAACTTAACAAAGCTGACATCTGTAAAAGCTCTAAAAAAATTGGTATACCTAGCATTTTTACCTCTGGTAACTTGAGTCTTTTTCATGGCTATCATTGGTAGGGGAAATTTCATCCAACTGCTCTGGAAGGGGATGATGATCAAGAGCATTTTTGGCAATTCCTCTCCTACAAAGGGTAAAACAATATTATATTAGCTGCTAAAAAAAAAATTTCTCAAGAATTTGATTATTTAAAGTTAATCATCCATTTACATATGAAGGAATTTTGGGGTAAATTATGCTTGTGACTCCATCTAAAAAGGACTCACTCTAAATTCCCCAAATGATCAAAACCTTTGCAGTTTAGTATCAGGTGGCCATCTAGCATGTTTTGAAGGATTATGATGTCTGCTATAAAATGTAATGGAGAATAACTGAAGAGGCTAAATTCGGTATCTAAAAGTCTGATGGGACTCCTTAGTCTCCAATGGTAGAGAAAAGCAAGCAAATTAAGACAATTACCTGCCTAAATCAGACGAAACCACATTGATGGTGCTTACAAAGTACCATCTTTTGTATATAAAGATCAAGCTACATACCTCCAGTAAGTAATTTGCTTTTAGTTGTTTTTTTCAGCAGTGAGGAATGAGTTTGCATCTAAACTCTTCTCAATAAGTACCTCTTATGACAACATCATGAACTGAAAAACAGCTATTTTAGGCATTGAATTCTTGGCTCTGAAACAGAGACTCTGCTTTTGCTAATTTCATACTAACTGGCACTCAGTGATTCACAACTGTACAGCATTACCAGAAAGATCCTGGTATTGGAAAGGTTATTTGTTTGTGTCAGGGAGCAGCTTAGAAGTATGGAAAGTACTGCAGAATTGACTAAATGCAATGCAATCCTAACTTATTCTGTTCATTGGACCTACATAACTGTCCATATGCAGTGTCTGTGCAAAATATATCTATCAATGGACTGTGGATTTCATTTCAAACATTTCATAATCTGGGCTACATGTGTGTATATAATCATTTCCTTAGTGTTTCCTTTCTTGACAGACTTTTCTCTTCTAAGTGGATGTGGATATTACTAAGTCATGAGTATTCTTGGGCCTAACATCACCAGTATTATGTCAAACACAAACAAAACCACTTTGAGGACATTTGTATTTCTAGGGAATCTCTCTATAGTCTTTTGGACTCTGTACAGTACATTTTCCATTACACTGCAAAGCACTTTTGCTTGCTGAAGAGAGGATCAATGAACAAATGTATCTTTTTAGTTGCATCTACTAAGGAATATTATAGGATCTTAACACATGCAAGATAGAAATCTTGTTGAAGTATTAGCAAGGTTCTGCCTTGCTCCAGGCAAGTCACATGACTCCTTTTTCTCTCTGGAATGTGAAGATGTGGTCCAGAAACACAATGGGTCTGAGTGAGTTATAGCACATTGTTATTAACAACTTTCTTCAAAAAAGTGGAGTTGACATCAAAGAAATGTATTTTTGTAAAAGGAAGTAGGGTCCATCAAGGGGCGAGAAAAGGTTAACAGAAGTACAGCCCTGAGTTCTGTACTGATAGCCATGAAACGTTAAAAACAAATAACCAGGCTGTCCCACATGCCAGATTGTACTTCCTCCTTATTTCGACCTTAGCAGACTCCCTCTCTTTCAAATGCAAGCATCACCTCCCGTATGAAACCTTTCTTGACTCTCAACTGCTAGTTCCTTTGCGTATTTTTGTATTTATTCATTTTATATTTATGCTTTGTATATTTATTTAGGTGCTTGGTATCTACCCCCGTTAGAATGTAAGCTTCGTGCAAGTATTTTATTTTTATTTATTTTATTCTTTGCTTCTGTGCTCCCAGGACCTATGACAATGCCTGGCACATATCAAGCATTACTTAATAAATGCCTGCTGAATGATCAAAATACCAAAATAAGCACTAACGGTATTTTACAGGAACTGAACTCAAAACCCTTGTCTCATTAAAAGCAGCTGACCTCACCAGGCGACCTGACCTCTCTCTACAATGAGCTTCGGTTCATTCTCGAGGAGTTCCCAGACTTAAGAAAAATAAAGCTTCTCGACCTGCAGTTCCGGTCTACTGGCCAAGGAGGGGAATCTCCACAGCCTCTCCCCGCAGCGGCCCGCACTCGAGCGCCCAGGGACACACTAGCTTGGAAGTAAAGGCAGCGCCGCCAAGCCCGCAGACGGCCGAGGGCCCGGGAGCGAGGACGCACGCAGCCAGGTGCATTTCTCGGGGCGTCGGTGGCTGCCTCTGACGCCCGGGCGCGGCCGCGGCTCGGGACCCCCGCAGGAAGGCGTGGCCCCGGGCTGCCGGGCCTCCGGGGGAGCACGCTCTGCTCTCCTCCCCGCCCCCGGGACCAGCGCCGCCCGGGCCGCTGGCCCCGCTATCTCTCCGGGCCGGTGGCCCCGCTATCTCTCCGGGCCGGTGGCGGCGAGAAGGCACTCACAGCTCCACGCTCTGCGGCGCCGACTTCCGGGTGTATCTGGTGATCATCTTCCTCCTCCTAAGCCGCCACCACAGAGGGGAGCCCGAAGTGGGAGCTCCCGCCGGCGCCGGCTCCAGCACCGGCTCCGCCCCGGCTCCCTCCCGTCGCCTGGACTACCGACCGCAACCTGCGCCCGCCTCCTTCCCCAGCCCCTCCTTTCCCCGACAACACCGGAAGTGACGGTGTGCGGCGCGCTGCAGTGACGTCAGCGGAGCAGCGGCGGCGACCAGGCTCTTCCTGTCCACTCATCTCCTAGCATCTGCCTGGCGGGCCCTGGGGGACGGCGTGGGGCTGGCAGGCCCCGGACACCTTGGCTGCCGGCGACTGCCTGAGCTGGGTGCGTGCGGGCGGCGGGCGGGCGGCGCGAAGTGGCAGCCGGGCTGCGGGGCACACGGCCTCGCCTCGGCCGGCCCGAGTGCGGGGCCCAGCCTCTCCCGAAGCGCCGGAGCCGTCGTGGCCGGGAGGCTCCCGGTCTGGGGAACAGCAGTAATGAGCCGCCTCCTCGTAGCGCTTTGTCCCCGGCGCGCCCTGCCCGCCCGCCCGACGTGAGCGGCCGGCCTTGTAACTGCCCCCATTCCTGTGCCCATTTCGCCGTTGAGGACCATGAACCGGGACGAGCGCATCCCTCCGTGGGGGGGGGTGGCTCTGACGTCAGCCCGTGCCGGGGATGCCACCCTGAATACCCTCCTTTCCCACAATAACCTGGGCTGCATACTTTATCCAAAACATCCTCCAGAACTCTTTGGAAGCTCCTGTGCTCTCTCTGTGTACCACCACCAAGTGGTGAGGAGCTTCCTAAGGTTACTGTGAAGTAATGCCTCCTTTTATTTGGCTTAATCTTACCTCCTTCCGCCTTGACGGCTAAAGGCTTGTCAAGCCTTGCTTTAAAGAAAAAAAGATGAGGCTGTCTTCTTTTATGTAGACAATTGCGGGGAATTTTGTTTTTAAAATAGGCATTTGTAGGTCAGAGAACTGTAGACAGAGGCCTCTGGTGTATGATAGAATAATAGCGTTTATAAAGGGCTTTAAGGTTTCTCAAGTGCTTTACGAATATCTCATTTTATCCCCATATATATTTAAACATATCTACTTTTTATATATATAATGTATATATATATATATATTTATAACATCCTGGGAAGTAGGTGGTGTTATTATTATTCCTATTTTACTGAGGCAGAAACTGCAGCACATAGCTGTTAAATGATTTGCTCAGGATCATACAGCTAGTATTGCCTGAGGTAAGATTTGAACTCAGATGCAACATTCTGTCCTCTCCTCCATGTAGTTGCATCTATTCAAAGGGGAGGGTGGAGGTGCACATCATAAGCAAACTCAGAGAAATTAAGTGATTTGTCCAAGGTCACATGGTTAACCTGAAATTCAAACCCAGGTCCTCAAATAACATGTCTGTTGCAGTTTTTCATTTTCACCATGCCTCTCCCAGTGTAATTCATCAAAGATTTATTCAGTACTTACTGTATGCAAGACCCTGAAAGGGCTGCAAAAATGGGAAAAAAAATCTCTCAAGGTTCTGTAAGCACTTTAAAGGAAGAAACCACATCCTACAATACTTGTTACTTATATTTGTCTTACCTTTTTATGGCAGTTAAGATATATACAGATATTATACAAAGAGGCCAAAAATACATAGAAGAGATACAAGGTGAAATGAGAATTCGAAGTCAGGTGGCAGCTAGGTGGCGCACTGGCCCTGAAGTCAGGAGGACCTGAGTTCAAATTGCGCCTCAGACCAAGCACTTGGTGCTTACTAGCTGTGTGACTCTGGGCAAGTCACTTATTGCCTTAAAGTTGCCAATTGCCTTAAAAAAAAAGAGAATTCAAAGTCAGAAAGAATATCTAGCTGAGAATATCAGAGGAGATTGCATGAAGAATGTGACATTTAAGCTACACTTTGAAAGTATATCATGAGGATTTTAGGAGATGAGGATAACAGTTACAAAGTAGTTTGTGTGATTCATTGATTTGTTTTATTCCAACTTTGAAATACAGTTTTCCAAGAACAAGAATGGAGGGGAACATGAAGCTGTCAGTGGCAGAAGATACAGTGGAATATCATCTGTTTTTGTTACTAGAAGAACCAAAAGATCCAGAGAAACGCAAAGAGGTCTTTCAGAAGTATATTGCAGCAATAACGACCCAGTATGCACCTCTGCTGGTTTCTTATATCTGGCAAAATCAGCCTTTTAATCTCAGATACAAACCTGCTAAAGGTAAGGGTCTATTTCTCATTTTGATGCATTTGAATTTTATGTGTCATTCTTATAAGAGGGATGATCTTTCTCCTCTGGGTTTTCATTATACTTCTCCCTCTTATTTCTCTGTCTGGTTGCTCCTTCTCAGTCCCCCTTTCTGAATCATCATCTTTGTTCTTCCCCCTGGTTGAGCATACCCCAAAGCTTTGCCATTAGCTTTCTTTTCTCCTCTTTGTACAAATTCTTGTTCAAATATATCATTCATTCTTGTGGATTCATTGATCATTTCTACTGTTAACTGGACTGAACCAGCCTCTAAGGATGTCCAGAGCCAAATAGCAAGCTCGAGCCAGGGATCAAACAGAAGTTTAATTTCAAAGTGAGGGGAACAGCTTGCAAGCATGGACACATGTGCCCAGGGCTCCCGCGTCTAGTGGGGAGACCTGAGGCACTGTGGGGAGATCTCAGTACTTATACCAATGGCTACACAGTGAGCTGTAGCCCTGACAGTGAGGGTAACAGCAACAGTGAGACAAGTGTGATTCATAGCAGGACTTAATGACTAGAACATGGGTGCTTATCTGAGCTCAGAGAACACCTGGTGCTGGTCAGAGCAATATGACAATTAGGTGATTTTGCCAGAGGGTGAGCACAAAGGATTGTTGTTATGTCAAGTTCAGGGCACAGCCTGCTTGCTGGGCCTCAGCTCTGGAAAACAGGCGGTCTCCTAATATAACACTCTACAGATGAATCCCAGATCTCGATGGCCAGCCCTAGTTTCTCTCCTGAGCTCCAGTTACCAACTTATTAGACATTTCCCACTGTATTTTTGTCTAGTTCAACATGTCCAAAACAGAAGCTGTAACCTTCCCCCTAAACCCTTCTTTTCCTAACTTCTCTCTAAGGTACCACCATCCTTCTGGTCACCCAGATTCATACCTTTCCAGTTATCCTAAATGCCTTCACTTTCACTCCTCTGCCTCCATAGCCAATCAGTTGGCAAATGTTGTTCATTGTACCTCCTCAACGTTTCTCATGTCAAGTCCCTTCTCTTCATCTACTCCACAGCCCCACAGTTCAGGGGCTCTTTACTTTTCACACAGACTATTTCAGTAGCTTCCTCTTTGGTCACCCTACATCCAGTCTCATCCCCCTCCAGGCTATCGTCTACACACCTACCTAGGGGATATTCCTAAAGCACGAGTCTGACGGTGTCTCTCCCCTGCTCCAGAAGCTCACGGGGCTCCCTCTTGCCTGTGGGATAAAATACAAACTTTTCTGTCTAGCATTTGGAACCCTTTCCAGATTTGGCTCAGTCCTATTTCAGGAGGAGTATACATTTCTCTCCCTCACCCACTGTACTCTCGCCAAACTGCCTGACACACTGTTTTTTGTAAATGATGTATCTCCCACCTCTGTACCTTTGCCCAGGTTGTACTCCATACCCAGAATGTCATCCCTTCTTACCTCTGGCTCCTGGAACTCCTAGCTTTCTTTACAGCTCAACTGAAAAACCTCTTTGTATGGGAGGCCTTTCCTGACTTCCCCAGTTGTTAGTGATAGTGCCCCAAACTTTGTATCTAGTTGTGTATTTTTAACAGTTTAACTTTGTCAGTGTATATATTGTCCCCACTCCCTCTCCTCTGTAGAGTAGAAGTTCTTTAAGGTCAGAGACTTTTTATTTGTTTTATGTCAACCCTGAATACAGTGCTTAGGACATAGAAAGTACTTCATAAGTGCTTGTGGATTTATTGATTGGGCATCATCAGGTACGTGTTTCACCTAGCTCAGCTTTTCACATAACCAGAGTTTACTCTTTTGTTCCCTCAGTATTTTTTTTAATGAAAATATTTCTAAAGTGGATTACAGACTTCTTTGTCTTAGTCAATAAGAATGTGCCAAACATCCATCTACTCTGGGTATTTTGCCATCTGACCTTTCACCTTCATGTCTCTTCATTTCCCTTTCCCTTTGGCTCTGCAGACCATCCTGTCAATACTGTCTTACTGCCATTTCTTTTGGATGATTGCTCTATGGTTTCACTCATTCTTCTAGTGAGTCCCCAGACCAAAACTACCTTTTTTAAGTCTTCCTGTATTGAACTGTAAGCTCCTTGAGGGCAGGGACTGTCTCACTTCTGATTGGTATTCTCATTCCTGAAGTGTGCCAGGCATATGTCAGGCAGGCACTTACTGTGTTTTCATTCATTCAGTCATTCAGGTCATCAATGTCCTTGTACTCTGGTGATGCCCGTAGAGACCTGAGAGGTGTTTGACTCACAATAGCCGTGGTTTTAATGACATAACATTGGCATTCTCCTCTTCTGCTGTTCTCCCTCACTTCTTTCTGTTTTCAGTGTTTCTAACCTGTGGCATTATTTTACACAGCATTGGGTGAAGGCCTGGGGTTAGTTTGGCTTCTCTGGTGACAGATACTGGCTGCTCAGGTCTATTCCTTTAC